GTCAAGCCGTTTCGGAGGAGTATGGCAACGAAAACTGTGACACGAGAATTTTATATATTAGATATAAAAGAACACTATAATTTAAAAACTTTTTATCAGTGATTAATCATAGAATACTGATTACAGTTTCAATATACTACACTTTTACAACCAGTTATCCCCGTATTGATTAATATTAATTCTGACATTTGGGTTAGTCATATATTAATGGACTTATTTTGTGTCTCTACTATACGTAATATCGAATAGACCATATATATGTATAATGTTATCATGGTAATAAAGCAACTAAGATAACGTATTGACAATTATTTCTCCTTTCCAGATTAACGATGTTGGTAAGGCGTGGGGCGACAATGCTTGTCGCCGCGCTCCTGTCGCTACTGGCACCGCCCACACTGTCACAGGTAACCATAAAATATTGCTTAACCACGTATTTATATTGTAGGCAAATGCTTTATGGTAATATGTCATGAATTAGGTTATTTACCAACTGCTTAATTTAGGCCTACGTTCAGCGAGGACAGGGCCAGATTTAGAGGGCCTCGGGGCAAAAAAGGAGTGGAGGCCCCTTAGCCCCAAATTATTTTCTATTGATTTCTGTTAATATTTAATGTAATCATGTTTGTACAAAGTACTAAAGGTGAAAGTAAAACGCGAAAAAAAATATGAAAAGAAAAGTTGTTTGAATTTAATTTTTTTTTCCGAAGTCTCTAATGTGGGGGCCCCTCGTTTGTGGATTGGGCTGTTGGCTCGACTGTAGGCTCGTGGGCTGTTGCCCCAGTTGCCCTCCACAAAATTCGGCCCTGAGCGAGGAATCACAATGCCTACGAAACATATTATGTAGCAATAAATATGGGTGTGTAATAAAAGTTTGTTCTATGAGGCATGAGTTGACGAATAACAGCATGTGACTGACTTGTTATTGCAGCTTAGCATAACAGTTTTTGTACCGATTCGATGGCACGTAACCGACAATTATAGTCATAACATGCAAATAGTCAATGCGTATACACAGTTTAAAAGTTTTAAGCAGCTGATTAAAATGTCGCATTTTCGGGTATATTGTGGTCCATGAAGGTTTAGATACCTCCCTTTAGCTGTAAGTGAAAATATCACTGAGTAAGTAACAGATAAGTGAATTTTAACTGTTGTGCAGTCGCACGGGCAGGCTCGTCCGTGGAAGTACCACAGCTTCGAAAAATACATTTGCCTTTACACTTCTGTTGAGTCGGGTAATTGGGTTCGTTTTTTCAAATGTTAGGTCTGCATCGGAACTTCAGTTAATAAAGTCCTCGGGCAGCGGTAATCACATCAGATGAACCACCTGATCGTTTACCACTTTCACACATAATAACTCTCTATCTTTATTTTTATTTATTAACCCAACCAGACGAGAAAACAAATGAATATCCCCACAATAATAATAATAATCATCTTTATTTTAATATCAAAGTTTTAGGTTACAAAAATTACAAGCACATTTGGGATAAGTAACATATTGTAATTGAAACAATCTATGATCTGAAAGGTTCTGACCTCATAAGTAGGTCATTACATGACCTGTGTTTAGGAGACTCAGTTCCATTCCCCCAATTTGGTGAAGTATTAGTACTCATATATCGTGCGCGCGCGTGTGTGTGTGTGTGTGTGTGTGTGTGTGTGTGTGTGTGTGTGTGTGTGTGTGTGTGTGTGTGTGTGTGTGTGCGCATGCGCGCGCGCGAGTGTGAGTGTGTGTGCGTGTGTCTGTGTGAACCATCAGATTTATGCCAATTAACCATGTTAATGCATACATTCTTTTTTTTTATTATTTAATTGTCGTTAATAATTCTTCGGTGTCATGATATGTTAGGTTTAAAAGAAAAGAGCGAGTAACAACTTTGCAGTTATAGTAAGAAAGGTTATGTACCAGGATATTTGCGTTAATTTTATTATATAGGAAAGGTCCAAGGTAGTAGAAAAATCTGTTTGTAAAAGAGAAATTTCCTTTTGGGATAGAGCAAATCTTATCTTTACGACGTTTTGTTGTTTTAATGAAAGGAGTCTTACGATGTTGCAGTAGTATTGTGTCAAGAATGAAGAGTTGCCTGACAGTTAGAACACCACAATCTTTGTATAACTGGACAGATGGATATAAGATTGGTTTGAAGGAGGAAACTTTTAATATAGCTTTTTGAGCAATCTCAAGTGGCCTTAAATTTGACTTTGCTGCTCCACCCCAGCATGAAATACAATAAGAAATAAGAGACTGACATAGCGCATAATATACATTACGAACAATTAAAGGATTTGCAACATGTCGTAGAGTTTTAAATATATATATCATTTTGCGAAGTCTGGATGTAAGAAGATTGATGTGTGTTTTAAAGTTAAGATGTCTGTCTATTATTATGCCGAGGTACTTTAAGTTCTCACTGGGAGAAATTTGTAGGCATTGACAAGGACATACTTGGCGAGAACAAGAGTGAACTTTTATAACAATAGGAATTTTGGGTTGCGAGGAAGAACTAATAGAAAATGGTATAAATTTAGTTTTCGAAGTATTAAGGGTAAGAGTATGAGATAAGAGCCAGTTATGCACAGTATTAAAACCGAGTTGCGATTTCATCTGAAGGGCTGACCAGGATTCGGCATAGAAAGTAATCGCTGTGTCATCTGCAAAGGTGATTATTTTTGCACTATTGATTTTTTAATTGCATAAGTCATTCATAAATACAAGAAACAAAGTTGGTAAAATACTATCTCCATCAAAAGTAAAGTATCAAGAAAAAAATGCTCAAATTTTTCTGAAGGTCCATAAACTCACAGAGCATTATCGTATAAGTATATTCTTTTAATTGATAATACCTATTTACTGGCACTGACGCTTCCTGAAATCCATCAGATGACTACGCAATAGAATTGTAATTGATGAAATTTTATCAAAATATTCGGTATCTACGCCCGCAGAACCGTTACAAATTGAGAGATGTGCCCGTGTGTCACTTTTACTTAAATCGAGTTTTGAAGCAAGAGGACCGCGGCTTATTAGAACTTTCGATGAAATATAACTTGCCGTGAGAAAATTTATACTGCTCACTCGGATTTGCATATTTCTTAGGGAAATATTTTTTTCTTTCCAACTAATTTCGAACGATGACGGCGTTCGTGTTTGTATTTATACAGTTATTTATGTTATTTGTCAAGAATCTGGAATAAGATATTTATTTCAAATGTGGTTTATGGACTTTCTATTCGTTCTCAATATGATTAATTAATTTCTCATTATTATTCATTTTCTTCCATCGATCGTCTGAAACATTAAAAATATGTAACTATGTTAAACACATTCAAATCATGGAATAGAAATATTCACTGCATGATATTTAATGTATTGATTTTAAGTTCTTTTAATAGGGTATTCTTTATGTTTTTTAACGCAATACATTTTACATCAATCATGGGACATGACAAGAGAGAACTTGTGTGTATATGAGGAAAGTACTCTATCGGTGCCAACTTATGAACGTCGATCAGGAAAGCAACCGTGGTCATGTAATGTAATAGTTACCAAACAATAATTATAGGTGGAAATGCTAAATCGTTAAATCAAAACCACTAAGGTTAACTAAACCGACTGATATTACCCAATGTACACTTACAAACTAGACACTATTTCCGCCAAGTAGGTCGTAACTACTATTTGCGAGGTTTATAAGGACATAAGCTTGCAATTGCCGCGTGGAATAACATCTTGAATACACTCGGTAGTGTTGTAAAATGTTAATGATTAAGGTTTTCGAATGGTAACCGTTCCACATATTGTTTGTTCATCTATTGTTCGTTCCATTTATCTATAATATATATTTATTTACAAAATCAAAAGTACGTTTAAATACATTTATCAGTTACCTTTGCTTAGTTCCGGAATAGACATTGTTGTGTAAGAATATGTCCGAAAATAACATTCTAGTAACTAATTAACATTCTGGTGAATATAGAAACACCAATAATTATTATTAAAGAACAAATTATCTTTGTAGGAAAAAGTTTAAGGACCTGGATTCTAAGCTCGGTGCACATTATCATTATTTTTAAAGCCCTAAAAGAAATTGAAGTGTGACGATTTAGCGCTAAAATTTCGTAAAACTCGAGTATATACTATATTTCAACTTTCCCGCAAGTTACATTTCATATGTAATAGTAATATTATGGCAGTCATTCTGAGCCAAACTGATAGAATGAAGCATGCAATGATATTATTAAAAGTTTCGTTATCTAGATCAAAACATTTTAACATTCTCCAAAGGTCAGCAAAATGCTTAGCATAAATAACAATTTTCGTTAAACGCTTTTGATTTCACAAATCCAAAGCCGGTTTGCTTCATCAATGTAATGCAGATCAATCTCGAAACAACATTAGGAAAGAACTGGTATCTTTTCCGTTCGTTTTTAGTGTCGTTACATAAGTAACTATGCCTTCAATGTAGACCTTATAAAATTAACTTTTAATCGCATATGAAGCAATAATCAACAGTACAGTAAACTATTCTGTAAATGTAAGATTATTACAAATTTTATTTATCTCATAAAATATTTTTAATTATAAACAGATCAGTTTTTCCTATTTTTTATTCACAATTTTTTTTTTTTTACATCTAATCTGTGTTCCCATTTTTAACTTATTCAAAGTGCTAAGGAAGGTAGTTATGATAGTTATGATTAAGGTGTCACTAAAACTAAGTAGTGAACCAACGTAGCTTATTCCTGCAAAAACAATATTCTCGAGATTTTCAGGACAAAGTCACCATTCGTTTCACCCGATAAAACTGTCCCGTTAAAATACGCGACTGTCGGAAATAAAAAAGATTCATTCACAGGTCCGCGCCGAAAAGTTTGCGATGAGATTGCGAATTCTCATCTTGTTAAATAAAATGTACTTGAAATGTATCCGTGTAATAATTTTGAGAACACGTTACGGGCGAAAAGAACAATGGAGGTTCATTTAAATAATCGCATCCATGGTCCGATTCTACGGAACTAATTTCGATCCAGAGGAGCGGATGTTCACTCATTGCCTTCTCTCCTTCGAGCAAATTCAAACAATGCTTTGTATGGTAAACACGACACCGACAACCAGTATTTAATGCATTACGTAAACGAACGATGGAACGATTATAATTTCAATATTTGAGGAAAACATCGGAGAGATAAAACTAATATATAATTTTAAGAACATATTCCTAATCTAAAATATTAATAATTAAAAATATTAAATAGAATGTTTTATATTAAAATAATTTTCTACTTACTAAGCAGCCAAACATTTCTTTAAAATATTGTCGTCCATATTTACGCCGATCTATATGTTCCTTGTTATTATTTGACCATATAAATTTTGTTAACAAGTTCCCAAATTTTATATAAAAGACATATTACAGCAACGCTTACCAAGGTTTCCAGTAATAGAATAAGAAATACATGTCTGTCGAAAAAGACTAAGCTATCTAAGACTATTTTATAAAAATCACCAAGACATGCTTCAATCCATAAGTGACTTAACAAAACTCGCCAATAGGCCAAAGGCAAATATTTTTATAGAGTAAATTTTTTTTAACTGCTGGGCTGTGCTTTTCCAGTATAAAGCTGATGATCATCTGTCCAATTTTGCTTCAGTTATAGCCAGGTCCCTGCCGTTTTTACGTTCCGATATTTTTCTCGCATATTCGAAACAAAAAGTCCGCAAAACCATTCGCCGTACGTGTTTTAATTTTTACGACACATAAAATTTTACACCAGAACTTCGCTGTCAGCCGTAACTTAATGGCTGCGGGCGCAGGATCATTTGGCGAGAGAAATTAATTAAATTTATACGTAATATAATGTTCCTACCTGTCGGTGTTTACAAATATTTTATGCTAAATAAGATTTTATCTTTTAATATTGCGTCTATTAACTTTATGTTGGTCAATAAATACATATTTAGCTTCGTGGTTGGATTATATATTATATAAGAATATAAAAGTAAAAACTTTAATAAAAGGAATAGGGAGTCTTGTGATAAATAAAGGTTTAAGGCTGCTAAACATAAATTATGAGAGTATCACAACATTATTCGAGTATTCGCAAAAGGTGAGTATTCTACTATCATCTACCTTCTCCTGGCAGTGCTGTATATAATAATAGTAAAAGTCCATTCTCGATACATCATACGTGCTTATTCATGATTATTTGAGCGCTGAGTTGCTTTAGGGATGTCCTCTGGACAAGTTTGGATTTGTTACAAGAGGGTGTTAATAAAAAGGTAATTAAAGTTAGTTAAAGTTCATTCCTCTACATAACTTATTCAGTACCCAAGTTTACGGCATACACAAATATGTCTAAAATCCTTACTATAATATTATAAAGGCGAAAGTTTGTATGTATGGATGGATATTTGTTACTCGTTCACACAAAAAGTACTGATTAGATTTTTTTACAATAATATAGCTTATACATTAAAATAAAAAACACATCGGATATATAATATAATAAATAAATTTATTTATTATATTAAATAAGTAAGTAAATGGCGCAAATATGAGTCTTTATGTTTGGATTATGTATTTGTGCCATTTGCTGTTGAAAGTTTAGGTCCATGAGGTCTCCGCACATCAAATTTTTTTAAAAGTTTATGTCCTAAGCTTAACGCTGCGGCTGGTGACAAGAGAGCTGGTTCTTTTCTCGCTCAAAGGTTAAGCAGAACTATTCAGCGAGGAAATGCAGCTAGCGTTCTTGGCACCATGCCGCGTGGATTAGGTTTATTAGATAATATGTAATTTTAGGTTTAATCTTGTAAATATTAGATCAATAAAAATTCTGCAAATTTATTTATTTATAAATGTCAACTAAGTAGTGTATAATAAAAGCTCATTGTTAATTCCATTTGGCCGCACGTGTGAATCCGCGGACGGCTCGTATGCAAATATAAGGTAAATACCGTCATCTGATCGAATCGTTACGATATCGTCAAGAGTTTTCTAATCTCGCGATTTCACAAAATTCGTATTCGCCCGACATAATATAACGCGACGCAACTAGCCGTAATTGTGAACGCCCGATCCAAACAGCTTTCGTCCCATTCCGAGGCCAATCGTCCGTGTTACTTTGTGTGTTGGACATACTGCGACCAACAGACGCAGTCTCAATATTTGACCAAGTAAAAGCAGCAGACTTACACACATATTTGCTTACTTACGAAAGCGCAGCGCGCGTGTCGAGCGTCTTTAATCAAGTTCGCGTAGATACGAGCGTTGTATTCCAACGCCGTTCAATAGTCCTTCCAAATCGGTTTTACGAAGAGCCATAATAAGAGTGAACGTAGTATATACAATACTATATGATAGTGTATAGTAGATGAATGAAGATTAAATTTAGAGCTGGCGGTTCACCAGATGTCCATGGGCGGCGTTTATCACTTAACATTCGGTGAACCACCATTCACGCTTGCCGCCTTCTCACATAAAAAAGAATAGGTTGATTTTTAAATGCAACTATCATACACCCTCAAGTGTTTCAAATGTCTTGATTTTTACTTTTACATATTGTATTAATATGTTTTGATCACTTCAAATTGTCAATTTTATAAATATTTTATAAACATTATCACCTTCTCCGCTTATCCTGAGCTGATGTGTTCACAATTTACGGTTACGATACATTCTGAGATTAGTTAGGGTAGTATTCCTTAAGTAAGCAATCGCCAATAACTTAAAATGATGTACATACATACATGAAAAAATATCATCAAAAATACTGTTACATGAATCTAATTTACTATGCAAAGGATATTTTAAGGTATTTATTTACCATGATAAAACTGTGTTGCTGAACAAATTTCCTTTACGTACTTCAATATTCCGAGCAGAAATGCGTCGGTACATTTTGTTTTATTAGTTTTATATCATATGACCTCTTAGAATTTCCAACCTCATAAGACTCCTGACTTGACTTAATGTCAACCCTCATCTAGCAGAGAATGGCTGAGATTGACATTTCACTTGTAGAAAAAACGAATCTAGGGAAATGTCGCTAAATCGGTCGGTCTCCTCCACGTAATTTATACGCACACGGAAAATCGGTTTTGTATAAACACTATAAAAACAAACAAAAAGATGCGCCATAATCCATACTATCCATACTTAATATTATAAATGTAAAAGTAACTCTGTCTTTCACGCCAAAACTACTAAACCGATTTAAATGAAATTTGGTACACAGATAGTCTAGAGCCTGAGAAAGGACATAGGCTATTTTTTAATTGGAAAAAAGTGTTGTAAGAGGTTAAAAATATCTTTCTTTAAAAAATTTATATATTTTTAAAGAAATATATTTTTATTTAAGAGCATCAACGCGAGCGAAGCCGCGAGCGAAAACCTAGTAGTAAATAAACTTCTAATAGAACAAACAACTAATAGAACAAAGATAGCAACTTAGCAACCTATTCGGTCACCAAAACAATGAAATAGAAAACGTTATAAATTTGTTCGGAACCAATAATTCAGTTAAAGCGCTTGTGCGCGGCGTCGGCTGGTGGCTGTCCTCGCTCCAACTTTCCCCGGTTTGGCAAGCCGCTGAAAATGTTTCACGCTATGACGACAACTAAGGCTACACATGTTTCAAATAAAAAGTATTTCTCTTTGTGCCCTTAAACAGAATGGGGCAATATTTACGTTTCATTGTATTTAATCATGAGTAAGACTTTTTTAAATTATTTTTTGCTTTATTAGAATCAATATAAGATCAATATAAGTTTTAATACATAATTGGCGATAAATTCTGGGCCTCGCGCCCAGAAGATAGGTTCAACTTCAAATCCCGCAGCGCCGAGAAAAAACAATTTTTCGACAATTTATCGATTACAACTCGCATGTTAATATATAATATATATATATATATATATATATATATATATATATTTTATCTTTATATTGTATTAAAAAGAACTAAAGGTTCTCGAGAACATAAAAATATTATAAATTTCGATTAGATGATATCATCTAGCTAAGTGCTGTGAGTGTATAGTCCCACGGAACTCCAAAACATATATTTTCTTTATTTCCATTAAAAAGATTGATAAAAAATTTGTTTTGTTCCAGGGCAACCTCTTCACGTGTCCAAATGGTAAGTAATTTTTTTTCAAGCAATTCATAAACTTTATTTTATTTCGAAACAGTCATTATTATTTTTGTGACATAGTTGTCGTCACCATCTTTTCTTATACGTGTAAACGTATCAAAATTAAAAATTAAATTCTACGGTGGTGGGGCCACGCAGCAGCCTCGGCCGCTGCATGAATGGGCAGGCCCGTCCGGGTAAGTCCCACGACCTCACAGAAGACCAGCGTAAAGTGGATGTATGACAAATACTTTCGTCTGGTGAGTGAGGTAGCCGGATCCCAATTTTCAAAAGTTTGTCACCGCATCTGTAACCGTCGGGTGTAGCAGATGTCCATAGGCGGCGGTATTCACTTACTAGCAGGTGAACCGTCTGCTCGTTTGGTAACTTTTCACAGAAAAAAAATATTCTAATATAATAACAAAACAAGTTGGTATATGTTACTATCCGGTGTGATATTTAATACTCAATTAACCACACATTTCGCATTCTATTAGTAAATATGTGCAGCAAGCGATGTCAAACGGCCGGTGGTTTTCGCGCGCAATCGTTTCTAATTTATGTCAAACGCACCCATTCGTTAGCACGTTATAAATACTTGCAGTTGGCAAACAATGGCGAACGTAACTGGCGCACTCCAGTCCCGGCAAGCTCTAATGTGCTTATTAATTCTACTACGCCAGTGTCACACTAAAAGCCACTTTATTTATGTCGGCTCAAGCATTCCTTAAATTAAATTAAATTCAAAGAATGGGCGGTCGAGTTATTCAAATTTATGGTGCGGGATTTAACTGCGAGCGCGGGGCCGTTGCGCGCGAAAATTCGCGCAAGGAAAATTGCGAAGACATATTTCTTTGGCGACGCGCGCGCTAGCGTTATATATGTATTTAATCATTGGTGCTCTACACCCGTTAGTTCCCGTCTTATTTCAGAGCAACACATAGTTTTTGGCATATTAACATATGTTCTATCCCGACTATGATTTGTATCTACTCTAAAATACATTGCTACCTCCCGGAAAACGTAGAAAATTTACTGCTGGTGTAGATTATTGCATAAAATTTAGAGACAAACTACAGAACGACGTATTAGATTAAGAGCAATAACAACTATCATGGCATAGACACTCAATAGAAATCAAGCATCTGAAGTACACTTTACTTATGTGTTCAAGTTTTCCATTAGTTAAAAACTTTCTAATGGCCCTGCTCGTCTGACTTGCTGGCGATGTCTTCTTTTTATCGCAACTGTGTTAACTAGGCGGAGATGCAATCAGTGGCGAACATCAATAAAAAACCTTCACATAAATATTACTGTTGTACCTGTCGCGGCAATGAAAAACCAAATATAACTGTTTAAACAAAACACAGTTGCTGCATGCTTTTCATTGTATACTTGACATTACAAAAATAATTGATCGAAGAATACACATTGATATTCAAAAACGAACAACTATATAAGGCAACGGCTCGACTTTAAATAAGCCGTACAATTATGTACTATCATGAGCATAACAATACCGTTACTACATACGGAAGCATTTCACTGGAGATTCTTCTTTAATACAGACAGCTAACCCACATCGAAATTTCAAACTGTGTAATTGTTAGCGTTCTATTAACTCTTGCAAACAAGTTATACGGAAACGTTCCAGTATTTACGTAAGATTTTTTTAATCTCGTTATTAAATAATTTGGCGTAAACGTATCCAAATAAATCGAATTAAGATTATTTCGTGAATATTCAAATATGTTACGTTGTGTTCGCATCGTTTCGGCATGTGTTTCATGAATACCATGTATACGATACAAGACATTAAAAATTAACTTATTTTCCGACTGAGAAGTATTAAATGAAAATATTAGATAACGTAAATATTTAAGATAAAGTTATTACGTAATGTCCGTCACTTTAAATTACATACAATACGCCCTGCAAATATTTGAAAGTAATTTTCGTTGTCAGTTTCCTTTTCGCGCTAATTCTGACCTAAACGTTAATAAATATTCCGGGAAACGTCGAGCGTCTTGTCGCGGGCGAAGTGGCCTTAATTAAAAACCCCTTTTTAATTCGAAATTGACTCGGCTCAACGATGACAGTTGGGGGACGGAGGAATTAGGCGGGTCACCGGTTCAGTGATTTTCATCAGCCACATAATTAACGCGAGGAAATTGCTTCTCGGCATGCACGGTACGCTGGTTTACCAGGTGGGCTAAGTCAATTCGCGTTCATGTAACCGTTAAGTAAACTAGGCTGCTACTTCAGTTTAATGTAATCTAAATTGCGACGGATGATTATGCAATGTATCAATGTTTTCCTAAGTGCCAATCAATGAAATAAAGTGGGAGTTAAATATGATGTAAACTGTTACTATTTGTGTCGATATCTATACCCATAGCTTGACTAAGAGGTGATAAAACCTTGACGGTATGAACTAATATTTTTAAAATGGATTTAACAGTAAAGAAAATATCAGCTTTAGGCTTCCAATCATCAATAGTGTGAAGCAAAATGCTACCAAAAAGTTTTATAGCTCTTAAAACTCAATCCGGTTTTAAATTTAATGCAATATGGCGGCCACATCCAATAGTTGAAGTGAACAACTGGTGCGGAAGACTGCCACCAGTTTTTTAATGCGTTTCAACGTAACGAAAAATTTGGCTGTGTGTTATTGAATATGGTTCGTCAGCCTCTTTCATAAATGTTTTAACTTTTATTTATTAAAAACCTATCCGCTTTCCAAATACATACATACATACAAAACATAATCTTCGTTGAACGGAACACCAATATACATTTTTTGTTTGATTACATTATCTCCGCAAAAGTCGCTTCATAATATTGTTCAGACTCTTTTAACGTGTAGCAACATTTACATAGTTCATAGCTTCCAGCGCATAAGCCCATCCAGGGATGCGATAAACTGGTCCGTAGACAGATTGGGCCAATTTCAAGTTGGAATTAACAATTAACACATGGAACTAGAGGGTCGTTATTCGAACCTAAGCCGTAACCAGTTTATGTTCATCCTGTCTCTGTACCACTTTTCACGTTTATTGCTTCTAAAGTAAAGCTTTTAAGATACAGCCACGCGGCTTGTTCGCGCTGCGAATGGCTTTCCTCTCGTGAATTTATTTTTCCAATTCACAGTAAAAGCTGGATTCGTATTGAATAAATGAAATCTTTATTTATGACAAACGAAACCGACGGCTAAATAAGAAATTATTGGAAAATAATTTTCTCAGAAATAAAAATAGTTCCGTTAAAACATTTTTACGGTGTATTTCATTCAATTATTTCTTTGTCCCAATTGAACACTGACGATTTAAATTATTGAAACGGTGTTACGAATGGCTTATGGTTTTTACGAACAAAATGCCTCTTATTAATAACATTACAATACAGCGTTATCAACACTGATTTGTCATATTTTCATATTTGATACAAGGGTATGGCTTTAATGGAAAAATGTTGTAACAGCTGTTGGATTGGATATTAGCACGTTACCGACAACTGTTCGCAGAAGGTCAGTATCCCACACGAACAGTTTCATCAATAGAGTGTAGGCAGCCTACGGTTTAGATATCGCATTCAAATCATTCATTCATGTGGAGAGAGCGACTCTCACAGGCACAGCTGGTCTTACAATCCCTTCGATTCCCTATAGAGCTACTCGGTATGCTGATTGCACCTTCATTTACATCGTTTTCTATATTACACGATACGTCACGAAATAGTGTATGTGATATATGACTATTAACGTGGTACTGAAAATAATTTTTCCTAGTTAAAAAGCTAATGAATGTCAGGTCTCATTGTGACTGACTAAATCTTTGGAAACGTTATGTCAATGCCCTTGCAAATAGCTGCAAGGATAGCAAACTAAACTAATCCAAAGAAACCGGAAACGGAAGCAACTAACAATAGACTCCATCTTCTGGTTAGGAGCGGATCATTTATATGCAATCGAGTCTTCGGTAACTCTTTACGTGACTCGTTGGTAATTGCAATTCGCACGATCAATAATACGTGGAAATGTTCTTACCCCCGTTTTCTCATTGTTCAGGAAGAATGCGAAGAAATGCAAAGCTTCGTAGTTGACTTCCAACACATCCCGTGTGCTTGTTTTTGTCTTATATTTAAGAGTTAGCTTAGGCATAGACCTGATGGCTCAGTGTGCGGGCGGTCGCTTTTAAGTCAATATGCTCATCGCAACGGGTTTTGAGTTCGAATCCCGGTGCTGGAAACAATCAAAATAATTGCAATTTTAGGTGATGATCACGTGCTCAACGGCGAACGAAAACGTTATGAGGAAACTTGCTTTTATTGAAATAATAATAAAAATTAAAATATATTTCGATGATATATGAGGTCACGCGGTGGACTATGCCCTAATTTTCTCCTGTACACAGAAATTCTCTCCCTTTGGAAACTATATAGACTGTGTCTTACTTTACTTTATAGAAATTGCCTAGTAGCTCAGTGAGCACTTTATCACACGAAATAGAAAATAAATTTTGATACTGTTACGATAGCTTCAAAAAAAATAATAGTACTTATACTATTTTAAAAATAAAATAATATTACTTATACTATTTAACCTCCATAAAAGAGGCAGTGCCTAGTGTGGGGGTTGGAAAGAAATTAAAATGTAACTAGGCTTCTTCTGAATAAAGTTATTATTATTACTTTACTCATATCTTTGTCATAAAAAGATGAATATCGCACGTGACAAAAATCAAAGTGAAGTAACGACGAGAAAGTTACGACTCTCATCATTTACTTTGTATATATTTAAACTTACACTTGAATAATGAAGTCCACTTGACCACTAGGAGGTGCTCCGTGCGTGACGAACTTATGTAAATCACCCGAGGTGAATAATGGCTTCTGATTTTATGGCATTCTGACAAAGTGCTTATACTTTCTGCTAGATGCTAGCTGCATCTTTCTGAAAAGAAACACAAATATAGAACCACTTAGATACAGGAAATTCAAAATAATGGACTCAATACGCGTTCTCAGTGATGTGAGTCACATTAACGTCGTACTCCAGCCAAGCGCATAAAACGACCACTTGCTCCGTAACGATATGAATGCGCATGCTGATATCAGACTTAGGAACGGAAGCGCAACTATTTTTATAGTTGCTTGGATATAGCATCATTATCCGTATAAGTTATCTATTTATATGTTAAAAAATTAGAAAGAGACATCTAATGCCATCCTGTTTCCACCCGCCCTGGTAAATCTTTGTCACCTTATTTCATTTTCCCAGCAGTGATTCATGTATGGGGAGTTATACATGTACTTTTACTTTATTTGTTATAGCCAAAATAATTGAACTTGCCGCTATTTCTCAGGTGGGTGAATAAAACAGTGAGTAAACAGTGACAATGTGGGCGACATGAGCTCTCTCTGTTCGGCTTTATAACTTGATATAAATAGATAACTTATTAGCAACAAAGTTTCGTTACCAAGCGAGTATAAAAACGGTTACGCTGTAATTACTAGCGGTTGAAACCTAGTAAGAAAAAAAATATCGACTAAAACACAATTTTATTTTTAAAAGAAATAACACAAGCAAAGTCGCGGGTAAGATGTGGTGTTAAACATATCTATATCAAGTATCTATCTAGCAAACGAGTAAAATAGCCTTGAGTGTCGAACGGGTTTTATCGATTTATGGCTATTGCATCTCCAGGTTTATTTTATATCCGATACAGGTTTAACTGCCCTCCCCCGGCACCGTTAACCTGTGGACTACACGAGCGTAATCAATGCCGCAAACGAACGTCTTAATAACCAGCCGCATTCTATAATATTAACTACCGCTAGAATATAACAGGATCCTATCTGCAATAAACTGTTCGAAGTGTGCCAATGTTTGATTCGCTTGTTTTAACTACCTAATGACTGTCGTTATCTTCCCGTTCAGCTAGCGAAGCATGAGTTAGTCCTATATAATGTTAAATTTACAGTAGCGCATAATAAAGTGATCTGCTTATTAAGCACTACTGTAAATTCAATGCAAATTTCTATAAAATAATACTAATGAAGCTGAATCCATTCTACATCATCACCGAAAGAATATCTTGGGTATCGCTAAATGATAATAATGACACCGTTACCTAAGAGGAAATTGACAACTTTTAATAACAATTTAACTTGGAACGCGCGAAATTTACGAGTACATCAATCAAAAAAGAGCGATGAATTCGTAATGACGAATCAAGTAACAGCCTATGTTATTATTATTATCTAATAAATCTCGAAAGACGTTAGCATTGACGGTCTTGACAGATGGTGAGTTGCAATAACGCGTAAAGTTGGTGCCGCCTGCGTCTGACGACAAACTTATGGTCGGTACCTTAAAATTATACTGCCGAGAGACATTTACGTCGGCCCAGAGAAATGAGGCTCATTAGCTTCATTCTAAACTTGGCACGCATCTATTGTGCGATTCGGAGCATCACAATCTGGGTCAGTTGTTTAGTGTGACAGACTTTATGCCTGAACACTGGAGACAAGGTTAACAATGGATGCTGCGATGTCCAATTACTGCCTGTATGAATTACTCAATGATAAATTTAAGCATACGGTTAATTCGGTTTAAACATCAGTAACAATGCTGCTGCATACAATTGCTCTCGCATTTCCTGGTCTTGGATCTGTGAAAGTTTTGTTTCACTTGTTACATTTCATTTAATATGTTTATTAGAAATTATTTCTAAATTTCTAGTGTAATATTATCTGCTATAAAGGTGTCAGTTTCTATCGATAAGTTATACAAAAGAAATGACAACGATTTTTGTATAGCTTATCTCATATACATAATTAGCACGTAAGATAAAATAAAAAAAAATGTTTAGCATTCAAAATAATGCCTCGAATAAGCTACTGTGCCTGAGATCACGTAGAATCCAATAAGAACTGTCGGTTCGGCATTGCTAGTTTTTAGTCAGCCGTTAGCAATTCCGGTCGTGCGGCGTTCTACTAGGACCGATTGAGCGGTAAACGCGGGTCGCATATTACCTTCAAGGCTGACTCGTAATGAGAGAAAGGCGCACCAAGCGCACGCAGCGTAGTACGTACAAACGTGACTCAGCTATGACATTAACCCACCCAAAACTAATTTTTCTTATTTTTATACCAGACTCGTTCAAGAAAAACATCTGTACAGATGTAATTCATTGATGAGTAATACTCGCTATCGTTTAAAATCTACAATGAGGGCACCAACGCTTTCAAGTAGGCCATTATAATACTTTTTTGAAATTGTACAATCTTTAACAAAATTCTCAAGGTTAACTCGAGAATATCGTTTAGCAAAATCAGCCATGTCTTATATCATTCGGTTAAAAATAGTACGTTTAACGCCATAATTTATTTAGACTCAAAACAAGAACTTTTTCTTTAAAAAAAAAACTTTTTAAAAGAACTACACTTTCTTTAAAAATATAAGAACCTACCGAATCGAAATCGAATTACTGGTGAAGTAGAATCTCGAGCCGCAGTACGTGCACACTCATAGCTCTTAGATCGTTTGATGGGAAGTAACTTGATATCCGTCGTGGCCGCATATCCGTATACCGAGCAAGGTTGTCTACACTCCGCACTCTAAGGGCACTAGAAACAATTGCTCCCGCCACTGATCGCTACCGGTCGATATTCGAAACCCGAGAGTCGGAACACATTGCTCGATGTTATGAACCAGTCATCCGTAGTCAATATCATGGGAATCGAATGCTGACGTCTAATATATTGCGACACGCTCAAAATATGACTTTTGCACATACATGTTATACACATATAGTCTTCAACTCGTGTTCTCGTGTGACTAGAAGAATAATCATCGTTCACTTGTTGTTTTATTTTTAAAAGAACACATGTAAATAAAATTCAGTCGAATACTATGATTACCGATTGTTGCATTTAATAATGGTGTAAATATGTTCGCAGTTTTTGCGAAGGCCAAAGACTTATTGAAACAAATCATTTTGTCAGAATTATATAATATACTTGATTGTACAATAAAAAACTTTATTGTATTTAAAAAAATACATAAAACAAAATATTTGTCAAATATTGGTAATTAAAAGGTTACCTTATTTCTACACAGCAATTTGTTCAAGGCAACATCAAAATTTACCAAAAGGAATTGTTAATGGGTAGGATGTACATGAAAAGAAATAAAAAGAAAGTAGCAATATAAAATGAAAAACATACCTACCTATTGTGAGTGATCATAGAATTAAGAGTGAAATAAAAAGGGATGGAGGAGCTAGACAGACAGATAATGCTCCTTAACCTGTTACAACAAGTGTATATATAACTGTATTCACGGCCGGCAAATAGCAAATAGACATGTAGAACTTTTGACGATAGTAACAGAGTATGTGGGTCAACACATTGCATCGTATTGCAAGCCCATTGAAGCGTGAATCCATCGCGCTTCTCGCGATAAGTCGTCGAACTCACACGCTCCATTTAAAAATATTCAGTTCGCTCATTTAAAGTAAGAACGTAGAATAGTACAAATCAAAATTTCATTTTATAGTTGCCAGTATGTTGCTTCGCAGCTTAAGGCTACTTACAAAAATAAACTGCATATCCATCCATTCACTATGAAGAAAAATCCATCCTAATTTACGTAATATGTAGGTCTTAATACTAATAAAAAAAACTTTTAACATATATTCTATTACCTCATTCAGATTTCTGACACTGTTCTGTTTAATTATGTAATTTTGCGAACCCGCTTTAAAATTATATTAAAGGCCGGTTATAATATTATAATATGTGTCTATAGGAAACCGTAGTACATTTCACAGTAAAAGATTTTGTTGTCTCTTCATTCAAATAAGGAAGCCATCGATTTCACTCGCCCTTAGGAGAAAGCGACATTCCTTCCTATGTTGACAGAAATCCATACAAAGTTAAACATTTGCGTACAGAACATGTGCAATTTTGCTTTCACTTAAAACGTACCTAATACAAATACATGCATAATTTATACATGCTTAAGTCTTAGTAAAATGTTTACATAATAATTAATCTAAAAATTATTTAAAAGAGACCTTGCGTCAATTTTCTCAATGTCAACTTATAATATCCACAAAATATTTCCTTTTCTTTTCAGGCTGGGAGTTAAAAGGTTTATATTGCTACAAATTTTTCAATATCAGGCATTCATGGGAAAAAGCAGCAGAATTATGTAGGAGGTAATTACTCATTAATATATCTACAACTAAAATAATACGTTACATTAAATTATAATATTTGACGAATTGGAAACATTTTTCACTACATGTACTACTTAATTTATTTCAATTATAGGTACGGCAGTGAATTAATGGTTGTCGAGAGCTACACAGAAAACAACATGACGGCCAATATGGTACCATCCAGTCCAAGCAATAACCATTATTGGCTTGGCCTTGCGACTGTTGATGACCTCAGAACTAACACACTGGAATCGGCTGCCGGAGGTTTGGTTTCACAATACGCAGGCTACTGGGCTTTGAGACAACCGAACCCAAAAGACGGTGAATGCGTTGACGTCCACGTCACATCGGATAAGCAATCGTGGGAACTAACCACCTGCGAAACCCTACTCCCCTTCATGTGTAAAAGCGATGCATGCCCTGCAGGTAGATTTAAGTACAATATTTTACTTTATTTTAGGAATCAATTCATATTGGAGCGCCATATGCGTTACTTGTAAATCAGAATAAACAACCCCCTTTACTTTAATTAACTTAATTTTTATTTGTGTTAGGATTTTAGTTTTTATTTAACAGTTCGTATTAATATTTTCTTTTCTTTTAAGGAACCTTCCATTGCTCAAACGGAAGATGCGTAAATTCGGCCTTTAGATGCGACAAACAAGACGATTGCGGTGATGCTTCCGATGAAATGGATTGCTCTTCCGAATGTCATTTTTACATGGCCAGCAGTGGAGATGTGGTCGAAAGTCCAAGTTACCCTCACAAATATCCAGCTTTCAGCGAATGTAAATGGACGCTCGAAGGACCACAAGGCCAAAATATTGTGTTACAGTTCCAAGATTTTGAAACTGAAAAGTCTTTTGATACTGTTCAAATATTAGTGGGCGGCAGGACAGAGGATAAATCTGTTAACTTAGCCACACTATCAGGGAAACAGGATCTCTCCAGTAAACTTTTTGTATCCGCTTCTAACTTCATGATTATTAAATTTAGCACCGATGGTTCTGTAGAAAAGAAAGGTTTTCGTGCTTCTTGGAAGACTGAATCTTCTAATTGTGGTGGCGTTCTAAGAGCGACTCCTCAAGGCCAGGTATTAACTTCTCCTGGATATCCAAATGGATACCCTGGCGGCTTAGAGTGCGTATATATAATTGAAGCCCAACCAGGTAGAATTGTTTCACTAGAAATCGAAGATTTAGAATTAGAAATGAATAGAGATTACATCGTTATCAAAGATGGAAATACGCCTTCAAGTCCGGTTCTAGCTAGACTGACAGGACCGGGAGAAGAAAACCAAAAAGTAGTTATATCAACAACAAACCATTTGTACATGTACTTTAGAACAAGTCTTGGAGATTCCAAAAAAGGTTTTGATATGAGATATTCGCAAGGATGTAGAGCAACAATAATTGCTGCAAATGGAACAATAACTTCACCTGCTTTTGGACTTAGCAGCTACCCAAATAATCAGGAATGTTTATACAGAATAAAGAATCCTAATGGAGGACCACTTTCACTTAAGTTTGATGAATTCAATATTCATCCATCCGATGTAGTTCAGGTATTCGATGGATCAAGTACAAATGGATTGAGATTACATTCAGAAAACGGATTCACTGTTAAACCGCGAATTACGCTAACAGCTTCCAGTGGTGAAATGCTAATAAGATTTATATCTGATGCCTTGCACAATGGATATGGATGGAAAGCCACATTTTCTGCAGGTAATAAAATAATAGATTATATTTTTATTTAATACTTTATTAAATATGAACTTAGTAAATATCTAAACGACTTATGTTTTCTAGATTGCCCGCCGCTAATATCTGGCATCGGTGCTTTAGCGTCAAATAGAGATACTGCGTTTGGAACTGTTGTTACTTTTTCGTGCCCAATCGGACAAGAATTTTCTACGGGGAAATCAAGAATCGTAACTCAATGTCTTAATGGAGGAAATTGGTCTACCACCTATATACCAAGCTGTCAAGGTAAAATATAAATGAATATTTTAAGTACTTTAATAAACTATTTCGACTGAAAATTATTAAATAAAAATTTCACATTTTAATTTCACAGAGGTTTATTGTGGTCCAGTCCCCCAAATCGATAATGGCTTTTCAATTGGTTCTACAAACGTAACCTATCGAGGAGTAGCTACATATCAATGCTATGCTGGATTTGCATTTCCAACTGGACAACCCACTGAAAGAATATCTTGTTTATCCGATGGTCGATGGGAGCGAACGCCAACATGTCTCGGTAAGATATAATACTTTATCTTTCCAAGCAGTATAGTGTTTAGGTTCGATAAGTCACATCAGTTATACAAAAAAATAGTGTTTATGTTGCCCATTCTTTAATTCAGTACATTATAATATGGCGTCCCTTCTTGAAAAGTAAGTAAGTTACTTGTAAGCGTTTCAACGACTAATAGACAAAAATTATGAAAAAGTATTTTGTCTCTTCCTACTTTGATTTGAACGTAGAATTAGTACGTAAACTAAATAGTGAATTGTTAGACTTCATGAAACTAGATTTTTAGACATAAATTATTATTTACAGCATCTCAATGTGTTGCACTTCCTGATGTTCCACATGCCAATGTAACCATTCTTAATGGCGGAGGGAAAAGCTATGGTACGATTGTTAGATATGAATGCGAACCGGGCTATGTACGCTCCGGACAACCGGTTCTTCTTTGCATGAGCAACGGAACTTGGTCCGGTGATGTTCCGACGTGTTCCAAAGCTTTATGTCCTAAATTCCCCGAAATAAAAAATGGATTCTTTGTTGATCAAAGCAGAATATACATGTTTGGGGACGAAGCAAGGGTTCAATGTTTCAAAGGTAATGACTATATACAAAGTACCATAAATAAAACTTTATCGACTATAATATTCAAACGTGGGTAATACATTTATTTTTTAAATATTTTACAGGTTACAAACTTAATGGCCCAAGTGTATTAAGGTGTGGTCCAAATCAAGAATTTGACCCACCACCAACTTGTGAAGATATTAATGAATGTATTAATAGTCAATGCAACTTAGCAACTACTGACTGCAAAAACACACAAGGAGGATTTTACTGTCCTTGTAAACCTGGCTTTGCTCCCGTTTTGGAATGTCGTCCAGTTGGGGATCTTGGATTAATAAACGGTGCCATACCTGATGAATCTATCACTACTTCAATACCGGAGTCTGGTTATCATAAAGGGGTAAGCGTAGTTCCCATGTTTATAAAATACATAATTAGTTTAAATTGATACTTACGCAAGAAAAAATATATTTTAGATGATCCGATTGAATAATGGTGGGGGTTGGTGCGGTGATAATCTCGAAGCAGGGGCTAATTGGGTACTGATAGACTTAAAAGCACCTACAGTTATAAGAGGATTCAGAACTATGAGTGTTATGCGAGCTGATGGCAATATTGCGTTTACATCAGCAATTAGAATTCAGTATACCAATGACCTAACAGACGTTTTTAAAGACTACACAAACCCTGATGGAACTGCTGTTGAATTTCGAATACTGGAACCAACGCTCTCAGTTCTTAATCTACCAATGCCCATTGAAGCTCAATACATTAAATTCAAAATTCAAGACTATGTTGGAGCTCCATGTTTAAAATTAGAAATTATGGGATGTGCTCGCTTAGACTGTGCTGACATTAACGAATGCAATGAAAATAACGGTGGCTGCGATCAAAAATGTTTAAATACGTAAGTACTATGCGAAATGTTCTTAATGTTAACTTCACAAATATTTTTACATTATATTCACTTGCTTACTATTTATTATAGGCCTGGAAATTACTCATGCGCTTGCAATATTGGATATGAACTTTATACAGCAAATGGAACTGCTGGCTTTAAAATTGAGTTGTCTGAAACTGGTGAAAGAGACGGCGACACATATCAAAGAAATAAATCGTGTGTACCTGTAATGTGCCCGACACTCACGTCTCCAGAGAATGGAAAATTACTATCAACGAAATCGGCATTCCATTTCGGCGACATAGTACAATTTCAGTGTGATTTTGGATACGTAATGTCTGGATTCTCGTCCTTACTTTGTACCTCAAGCGGCACATGGAATGGAACTGCACCAGAATGCCAATGTAAGACGATACAGTTAACTAAGTTTGGCTAATAAATATTTATTTCAATCTTCAAATTTAAAGCATGATTTTTTTTTTTTCAGATGCTAGATGTGTTACTTTATCTGATGACAAAAATGATGGTTTGCAAATCATACGAGATGATCCTGAAAGTGTTCTTGTTCCGTACAGAGACAACGTTACTATTACATGCACATCACCGGGACGTCACCTGAGAAACACCGTGACATCATCCTTTAGGCAATGTGTTTATGATCCAAAACCGGTAAGTCAAAGACATTTTCTTGTATGCTGTTATAGTATATGAAAAGGTAAAATTAATAAATACATGTATAATAATCTCATATTACTCTTCCTTCATTTTTTATAAATGCTTTGATCATATCACATAATTTTTATGAATATTTAGATTTTTATAAAATTTATTATTAATTATGTAAGTCAAGTCAAGCGTCAATTAAAATTCAAAATTTCATAGGGACTTCCTGATTATTGGCTGTCTGGATCAAAACCACAATGTCCTCGTAAAGATTGTGGCATACCGATGCCAACTCCAGGAGCTGAATATGGTCAATATTTAGACACAAGATACCAAAGTTCTTTCTTCTTTGGTTGCCAAAATACGTTTAAACTTGCTGGGCAAACTAGTAAACATGATAATGTTGTAAGATGCCAAGCAAATGGCATTTGGGACTTTGGAGATTTGAGATGTGAAGGCCCAGTATGTGATGACCCAGGAAGACCAGCCGATGGCTATCAAATTGCTAGAAGCTACGAACAAGGATCTGAAGTGTTATTTGGCTGTTCCAGACCTGGATACATCCTTATTAATCCAAGGCCAATAACTTGCATGCGAGAACCCGAATGCAAAGTAATTAAACCTTTAGGACTTGCTTCAGGAAAAATACCTGACTCTGCTATTAACGCTACATCTGAAAGACCTAACTATGAAGCAAGAAATATCAGGCTTAACTCCGTAACTGGATGGTGTGGCAAACAAGAAGCATTTACATATGTGAGCGTGGATTTGGGAAAAGTTTACCGCGTTAAAGCTATCCTAGTTAAAGGAGTAGTAACCTCTGACATTGTAGGACGGCCCACCGAAATTAGATTCTTTTACAAACAAGCTGAAAATGAGAACTATGTGGTTTATTTCCCTAACTTTAATTTAACAATGAGGGACCCAGGAAATTATGGAGAGTTAGCTATGATAACGTTACCGAAGTATGTACAAGCTCGATTTGTTATTTTGGGAATTGTCAGTTTTATGGATAATGCTTGCCTTAAATTCGAACTTATGGGTTGCGATGAACCAGCTGTTGACCCTTTACTAGGTTATGATTATGGATACTCTCCGTGCGTTGGTAAGTAAAATATATGTATTTTACGTGATTTTGCAATTAATAAATGATCCATGTAATAAATGTAATTTACTATTTTTTTAGATAACGAGCCCCCTGTTTTCCAAAACTGTCCTCAACAACCGATAGTTGTTCAAACTGATGTGAATGGTGGTCTATTACCTGTTAACTTTACGGAGCCAACGGCTCTTGACAACAGTGGTGCAATAGCTCGATTGGAAGTTACTCCCCAACATTTCAGAACTCCGATTCAAGTATTTCATAACATGGTTGTAAGATATGTTGCTTTTGACTTTGACGGAAATGTTGCAATCTGCGAAGTTAACATCACCGTCCCAGACTATACACCGCCAAAATTAAGTTGTCCTCAAAGTTATGTTATAGAACTAGTCGATAAGCAAGACAGTTATGCTGTTAATTTTAATGAAACGAGAAGAAGAATAAACGCAACCGATGCATCGGGCGAAGTGTTCTTAAAGTTTATACCAGAGAGGGCTGTAATTCCCATCAGAGGCTATGAAAATGTAACGGTAATAGCTTCCGATAAATATGACAACAAGGCTCAGTGTCACTTCCAGGTATACATAAACGTTTTTTATTTATCTCATGCTTACTGTAGCAAATATTTATATTCACATATTATATTAAATGTTCGAATAAATCAATTCAGAAATATAACTTTACATACACTTTCAGGTATCTGTACAAGCAACACCTTGTGTAGACTGGGAACTCATGCCTCCGGCACATGGTGCACTTAACTGCCTACCAGGCGATAGAGGGATTCAATGTATTGCTACATGTAGCTCCGGTTTCCGATTTACCGACGGCGAACCCGTTAAAACGTTCGTTTGTGAAACGAAACGGCAATGGTCACCTAGCGCTGTGGTACCTGATTGTGTTTCTGAAAGTAAGTATAACTTATATAAATCGCATTTGAAAACTTGAACTTTAAAAATATTGTTATTACAATGCTTGCTTTAAACTTTGTAGAAAAAGTACGAAAAGATGGTCGCCGCTGTGGGAATCGAACCCAAGTCTTCGTTATTCGCGGTCTGACGCTTTAGCTACTAAAGCTAAACGGCTGATTGCCACACCTACTAAAATCTTTACGTGTTTTATCTACATCGTTTTTTAGCATTTTTAAAGCACTATAAAAATTAAAATTTACAATGCTTGCTTTCTTAATTTCAGATACTCAACAAGCGGCTTACCATGTTGTTGCAAGTGTACAATACCGTGCTCTTGGAGCTGTTTCTAATGCATGCTTACCACAATACAAAGATTTACTCGCCCAATATGATAACATACTAAACGAGAGGCTCTCTCAACGCTGTTCTGCGGTCAATGTTAATATCAACGTGACATTTGTTAAAGTAATGCCTACTCTCCTTGATGAGAATGTTGTGAAGATGGACTTTGTACTAGCTATAATACCTGCCATTAGACAAACACAATTGTATGACCTTTGTGGTTCAACGTTGAATCTTATATTTGACTTATCAGTGCCGTACGCTAGTGCTTTAATTGAACCTGTTTTGAATGTTTCATCGATTGGAAACCAATGTCCGCCTTTAAGGGCTATTAAAAGCTCTATTTCACGTGGTTTCACTTGTAGTGTTGGTGAAGTCCTAAATATGGACACCAATGATGTGCCAAGATGCCGTAAGTACTCCATTTGAAGCAAAATTTTTATTTTCAATAAATGAGAACGTACTGTTTACAGAGTGTAAATGTCTGTTCCAGTTCACTGTCCTGCGGGAACGTTTGCCGGTGAGAAACAAAAATCTTGTACCATGTGTCCAAGAGGGTTCTTCCAAAACCAAGCAAGGCAAGGATCTTGCCTTAAATGTCCACAAGGAACATTTACAAGAGAAGAAGGATCTAAAGATATTACGGATTGCATACCCGTTTGTGGATATGGAACGTATTCACCAACAGGCTTAGTACCTTGCTTAGAATGTCCTGGAAACAGTTATACTGGAGATCCACCCTTAGGTGGATTCAGAGACTGCCAAGCTTGTCCAGCAAACACCTACACATATCAACCCGCAGCTTCGGGTAGAGACAAATGTAGAAATAAATGTGCACCTGGTACATATTCCCCAACTGGTCTAGCACCTTGTTCCCAGTGTCCAAGGAACTTTTACCAAAACTTAATGGGTCAAACTTTATGTATGGAATGTCCAACTAATATGAAGACTGTAAGTACGGGAGCCACCGGGCTAGAAGAATGTATTCCAGTTGAATGTTCAAACAGTGCTTGTCAACATGGAGGCCTGTGTGTTCCTAAAGGCCATGGGGTTCAATGTTACTGTCCTGCTGGATTTTCAGGACGTAGATGTGAAATAGACATAGATGAATGCGCAAGTCAACCTTGTTACAATGGTGGTACTTGCATTGATCTTCCACAAGGATATCGCTGTTCTTGTCCGACAGGATATGGTGGAATAAACTGCCAAGAAGAAAAATCAGATTGTAGAAACGATACATGTCCTGAAAGAGCTATGTGTAAAGATGAACCAGGATATAACAACTATACTTGTTTATGTAGATCAGGATATACTGGCATTGATTGCGATATCACTGTGAGTAGACACTGTCCGTAATTTATCAATGACAAAAATCAGAATAATATTGTATTTTAATTATTGTAACGCAAATTTCATTTTCAGATTGACCCCTGTTCTGCTAATGGAAATCCTTGTACAAATGGCGCTACTTGTACTGCTCTTCAACAAGGCAGATATAAATGTGAATGTTTACCTGGATGGGAAGGACAACTATGTGAAATTAATACAGATGATTGTATTGAAAAACCGTGCCTTCTTGGAGCTGCTTGCACAGATCTAGTTAACGACTTTAGTTGTGCATGTCCACCAGGTTTTACTGGAAAACGCTGTCACCAAAAAATAGACCTATGCTCGAATGAACCTTGCAAACATGGTGTATGTGTAGACAAACTATTCGTTCATCAATGTGTTTGTGATCCTGGTTGGTCAGGGCCGTCATGCGATATCAATATAAACGAGTGTCTGATTTCATCTTGCGAAAACGGCGGTCGATGTGTTGACGGTATCGATGATTTCACTTGTATCTGTGAAGCTGGGTTTACAGGCAAAAGATGTCAGCATACTATAGACGATTGTGCCTCTGAACCTTGTCAAAATGGTGCAACATGTACCGATCAGTTAGAAGGATTCACTTGTAAATGCAGGCCCGGATATATTGGACTTCAGTGTGAAACAGCCATAGACGAATGTTTAACTGAACCGTGCAATCCAATCGGCACTGACAAATGCATTGATCTTGATAATAAATACAAATGCATGTGTCGCGAAGGATTTACTGGCGAAATGTGCGAAACAAATATAAATGACTGCGCATCTAATCCTTGCTACAATGGTGGATCTTGTAAGGATGAAATCGATGGATACAAATGTGTTTGTCAACCTGGCTGGACTGGCAAACGCTGTGAACGAGATATTGGTAACTGTATGAACAGACCTTGTCAAAATAACGCAAACTGCATAGATCTTTTCCAAGATTATTTCTGTGTGTAAGTAACGGATTTATTACAAACAACACTAGTATACTTTTTTATTATACGCAATATAAAACATGTTCCTATTTTAGGTGTCCAAGCGGCACTGATGGCAAACAATGTGAAACAGCTCCAGAACGTTGCATTGGAAGTCCATGCATGCACGGAGGAAAATGCCAAGATTTTGGCTCTGGTCTCAACTGTACCTGTTCTCAAGACTATACAGGCATTGGATGTCAGTACGAATTTGACGCATGTGAAGCTGGTCTGTGTCAAAATGGTGCTACATGTGTTGATCATGGAGAGGGATACACTTGTTTGTGCGCTCCAGGTTTCAAAGGAAAGAACTGTGATGAAGACATAATGGATTGTAAAGAAAATTCATGTCCACCGTCCGCAACATGTATTGATTTACCTGGTCGATTTTACTGCCAGTGTCCATTTAATCTCACTGGGGATGACTGCAGAAAGAGTAAATACAAATTTACTATTTAAATTTCTGAAAAAATAGCAATTCGTTGATAAACTTCTTATAATGTTCCTTCTTACAGGTATCAGCGTGGATTATGATCTCTACTTCAGTGATCCCTTACGGTCAAGTGCTGCTCAGGTTGTACCTTTCGACACCGGATCAGCTGACAGTTTAACAATAGCTATGTGGGTCCAGTATACTCAACAAGATGAAGGAGGCATTTTCTTTACCGCTTATGGTGTCAGGTATATATTCATTTATATCTATAACAAACATTAGTATCTCGAACAATATCAAGTTTTTGTTTCCAAACGAGTCTAATATGCTATATGTTTTCAGCAATTCACACATAGCATTAAACCGAAGAACTATAATTCAAGCACATTCCAATGGTGTCCAAGTATCTCTGTTCCCTGAACTTCAAGATGTGTACATGAGCTTTGGTGAATTCGCAACCATAAATGACGGTCAATGGCACCACGTCGCGCTCGTTTGGGATGGGGGCAATGGCGGTGAATTGACTCTTATCACAGAAGGCTTGATTGCTAGTAAGATTGAAGGCTATGGAAGCGGACGAACTCTACCGCAATAGTAAGACCTTATACCCACTTTAATTTAAAATTAATGTTACTAATCTATTTAATTAAACTTTAATCTTCTTTTGTGCATTTTAGTGTTTGGGTAACACTTGGCAAGCCTCAGTCCGACAACCCCAAAGCGTATACAGAGTCTGGATTCCAAGGACATTTAACAAAAGTTCAAATATGGAACCGTGCTCTTGATGTAACTAATGAAATTCAAAAACAAGTCCGTGATTGTAGAACTGAACCTGTTCTGTACAGCGGTTTAGTTTTGACTTGGGCCGGATATGAAGATATTATAGGAGGCGTTGAAAGACTTGTACCTTCTCATTGTGGTCAAAGAGTATGTCCTAACGGTTATACGGGTTCCAAATGCCAGCAATTACAAGTAGATAAAGAGCCACCTAGAGTAGATCGCTGCCCCGGAGACTTATGGGTTATTGCTAAAAATGGGTCTTCTATAGTCAATTGGGATGCCCCAGTTTTTAGTGACAATGTTGGCGTGGCACGTATTGTTGAAAAGTCTGGTCATAAGCCTGGTGAGAATTTAGCTTGGGGAGCGTACGACATCGCGTACGTCGCATACGATGCAGCTGGAAACGCTGCTACTTGTAAATTCAAAGTCACCGTTTTGTGTAAGAAGTTTTTAATTTATTAATTGAATTTAAATCTTTAAGACGAATACATATGTTTATGATAACATTTTGCTCTTGTTTTAGCTGAATTCTGTCCTCCGTTGCCCGATCCACTTGGGGGATATCAGTCGTGTCGTGACTGGGGTGCTGGGGGTCAGTTCAAGGTCTGCGAGATCGCATGTCGCGATGGCCTTAGATTCTCGCAACCGGTCCCACCATTTTACACATGTGGAGCTGAAGGATTCTGGCGACCTACTAACAACCCCAGCCTTGCACTTGTTTATCCAGCTTGTTCACGTAAGTTCACTTCATATGAATGTTATATACTAAAATTTTTTAAATGATACTAACCCTATTTCTTAACCAAGTTTTAAGCACTTCGTTTTACTTAAGTTCTTTGTGTATGATTTTAATAGCGGCCACTCCAGCTCAGCGTGTCTTCAAAGTATCAATGTTGTTCCCGAGCTCCGTGCTCTGTAATGATGCAGGCCAGGCTGTGCTAAGGCAGAAAGTCCGCAGTGCAATTAATCAACTGAACAGAGACTGGAACTTCTGCTCCTATGCTATAGATGGTGAGCTTAATAATTCGCTATTTTATTTTAGTCTGTCCCTTACTTAATTTTAAAATTTTAATATGAAATACATGTAACACGTCACAAATTATCTCTTACGAAACGAATAATATCAGTATTTGGAGAATATTTACCAATTTACTTATTCAGTACCGAATCTTGTTCAATTTTACATTATTTTTAAGGTACAAGGGAATGTAAAGAGTTAGATATCAACGTGAAGTGTGATCACCGTGCTAATGTTCGACAAACGCGTCAAGTGTCCACTTTACCTACCGTCAAATCAGAAGATACATATGTACTAGACGCTATAATACCAGTCGACGAGTAAGTATTTTCTCTCTAACACAATATAATCACTTTTCTACTTTTATACACTATAACATAGTGCAATATTTGATTTACAAAGTATATAAATAGGTATAGCAGGCAAATTTTCACTTATGGGTCCAAGTCGTGAGGTGTTGGAGTTGGCACCAAATTGTAGCACCTACCACTTCGTAGTTCATACTACATTTTGTAGTGCACCTACTACTTCAGCGGGCATGTTTAACAACGGTCACGAAGCGGCACTGTGAATACTTTATAAGCTTTGAACTAAATAATATTTCAATACTAGTTTCAAACAGGTCGATTGACTTAGCGGAGCATGTGTTTCTTCAATCACTTTTGCATGTATTTTCTTTGGCACCTAGGGCACGAAGCAGTAGAGAGGGTCGGCAAGCCGGTGACACGTACAACGTGGAGGTTTCTTTCCCAGCCGTAAAGTGAGTACTTAATTAGTTCATTTTGAAATGTACCGTAAGTCCTGACAATGCTGTTACCTAGCTGTGGTACTTGGTCTTTATATCGCAGAACTCAGAACTAATTTCAATCAAGCTGGTTTCAATACGTGATTGTAAAAATAATTACATGATATACTTAGAGTTTCAAAGTATATAGTGTAATCAATAGTTCAATGACAAGATTCTATACTTCACGTGACTTTACACCGATTCTTTTTTAATTTCCTAAGCTGGCTTACAGCTACTATTAGCGAGTATTTTTTTGTAAATCTGAGCTAAGAACTGCAAATAACTATTATTATCGTTATGAAGTCGTTGAGCAAACACCTTAGCGCTTTAGATTTAGTTACTTAGCAGATTAATAAAAATAAGAACATAAAAATATATTCGTGCTTTTTTTATTTGAGAAAGTGGCAAATGAGCTGGTTAACCTGATGTTAAGTGATAGCCGCTGTCCATGGACATTTGCAACACCCCACGAAACGCAGAAGTGTACGTTATGCCGGTCTTCTGTGAGGTCGTGGTACTTACTTGGATGGACTTGCCCATTCGTGCAACAGTGAACTCTGCATGGCACTACCACAGTTACAGTGCTGTCTGTATTGACTTAAAATATGTCGCTAATCAATAAAATTTGTAGCGTTTGTTAACAAATTGTGTGGCCACGTAAAATCTGCAGAAGAAAATATTTATCCTTACATAGTTCGTTACGGAAAGTAACTCACTCCTTCTATTAAAACTATACAGAACGGTCAAATTCTTGAACATAGATAATATATTGGCAAATTAAAGTAACTAAATTAAAATTGTAGTGACCCTGTTATCCACGGCGGTACCAACGAACGATCGACTGTACAACGATTGCTCGAAAAACTAATCCTCGAAGATGAACAATTCGACGTACGAAACATTCTGCCAAATACTGTTCCCGATCCGGCGAGTTTGCAGCTTGTTTCCGACTATGCTTGCCCAATGGGGCAGGTCGTGATGGCTCCTGACTGTGGTAAGTAAAGTAACAGCTTATATTTGTCCCACTGCTGGGCAAAGGCCTCCTTTGTTCAGAAGGTATTAGGGCATATTCCACCACGCGACCCCACTGCGGATTGGCGGAATTTACATATCTTCGAAATATATTTTAGGTGTAAAATTGCTTTTTGAAATGACATAAATTATATTGGTTTACGAAAAAAAATAGCCCTAAAGATGATTGAACTTTGGCAGAAAGCCAAGATGCGATTCCTCTATGGCAAACTATAAATGAAGCTTTCAAATATAAGCCTGTACCCAACAGATCTATACGCCAATTTTCAACTTTGCCATTCTGTTTTTAATCATTAACAAATAATCAATCTAAATTATGAACAAAACCATAATTCAATAATAACAATTAAGATTACTATATTGGATATACTAATGTTATCCTTTAAAAATATTGCAAACATTAAAAAAATATTTGTCTTCACAACACAACGGGTAAAATAAATCAGTGATGTTTCAAGCTGCTCCAAGAACTATCATCGGTTCCCTAAATTTGACTTGCCCAGAGAAGGAATACCGCATGCGATTTTCTATATCATACATAACCCAACCGACAATGACAATCGAAGGATAGAGTAACTAAACCGTAAATAATTACTCTTACATTCTTTTAACAGAAACTTTTAAACTTTGAATAAAAATTTATCTGCACCAAAGTGACACCAAAGAAAACATTGGAGTGTCAGTGAAGTTTTATTATTATCTAAAATTCTAATTAAAATCTTAATTATGTTGATGTTTTGTTTTTACGCGAATATAAATGTTAAATGAAACTATTTTACGAATTGTTCATCATCATATTTAATTACATTTTTAAATTTGCGACGTTTCGAACCCTTTCTAACGTTTACGATAACGGGAAAAGGCTTAATCATGTACCTTTACAAACGTTACAACTACTTTGCAAATTCCACACTTGGGTGATGATAAGGGGAGCAGAAATTAACAAATAATAAGCCTGATTCTCATATGGTAAAGTTTTTCTGTTTATTTTTAGTATCATGCGCGGTGGGAACTTATCTGGACGCTGCTAGTGACTCCTGCAAGCCTTGTCCTGCCGGCACGTACCAGTCTGAAGCCGGGCAATTGCAATGCACTCCTTGCCCCGCCATTGCCGGTCAACCAGGCGTCACTCAAGCCACAGGAGCTAGAAGCGCAGGAGATTGCAAAGGTTTGATCGATATCTTTATTCAGTAATATTTTAGCCGTGTATCCTCAGGAATTTGCTACTCAACTCTAGTTGTATGTATCGGTTATCTTATTTACAATGTTTTAATTTTTTTAATAGAAACGCTACAACTTAAATATATTTACACACTTGCGTTATCTCCTTTTGTTGGCTTCAATTGCAACCCTCTCAATTATATTATAAATTTACATTTTAAATATATGTTCTATCCTCAATTTGCTGAGATTCAATGAATTACCATGTTTCCGCAATCAAAGATGTCTGTCAAATTAAAGTAAAACAGTGTTTATTTATCGTACAATTGTCATTGTAGAGAGATGCGCGGCCGGCAAATATTACGATGCAGAAGCAGAATTGTGCCGGCCTTGTGGCCACGGGTCATACCAGCCGAGGGAAGGCGCCTTCTCCTGTATTCCTTGCGCTCGAGGACAAACCACGCGGGCAACAGAAGCGGTTTCGGCGTCTGAATGCAGAGACGACTGCCCCGCAGGTAAAAATCTAATTATTGTTCCATGGCTCAACAACATTTCTGTATGATTGATACTGCTATTGATCGACACATTAGCGTCATATTGTAGAAAAGAGTCAAAAAATTACCCCTTCATTGTTCAATTGAAATAATCCTATTTAAACAAAATACATTACATATTTACAGCGGAACTTATACATATGTATATACATATCTTGAGAAAATGCCTTGTCCCCGATCGTGGGGGGTCGTCATTGTATATGATGACCCCCATAATCATTCTGTTAAATTCAGGCAACATTGACAGTATTCTCATATATTAATCGGAATTGGAGGACGTCAAACATCATCAGCAAACTCCTTGGCATGACTATGAATGCTATAAAGCAATAAAACACAAAGAAAATACCATCTTCTTAACTTAGCGATTGTTTCAATATGTTTTTATTGATTACAGGCGAGCAGTTAGGTAGTGACGGCGGCTGCGAAGCTTGTCCGCAAGGCACGTGGAGGGCTAGCGGAGCTGGTGCGGCTTGCGCCCCATGTCCGCCTGGTACCACCACACCACAGCCCGGCGCCTCTTCCCCAGACCAGTGCTCCCTGCCAGTCTGCAAGCCTGGTACTTAATTACACTACCTGTTGCCTTATAAACTGACGTGGTCGGAACCTTATCACTAGTTAGATAATAGCTACCAATCGAACCGAGATCCGGCCCTCTCGTACACCCTCGAATCGGAATGCTAAACGCGTGTTGAGTGACAGCCCAAGCCGAGGTCCCCTCTCGGGAACCCTTGAGCCTGATCACTCCATGGAGCGCCCGCCAAAGCGCCCGAGGAGCTTGGCGGCCTCCCAAACCAGTGATAATAATACCGTGACGGCCCGAGCCGAGGCTCTTTCTAGAGCCCTCGAGCTTAGTCACCATAACGCGTAATAATAATACGCCGAGGTTCAGGCTAGGCGCCCGTGCGCCAGCCCACCTCAAGCCCGTCGGAACTGTGAAGGGCCTAAGGGGTGGACCCCTAAGGCCAACAGTGGTTGATCCAGCCCAAAAAAAAAGAAAAAACCTTGTCCTGTATTTTCGCGCACATGATTAAATGAAAATATTTTTACGGATTAAACGTTATAAAATCATAACATTAACGTGATAAATTGGGAGTTTTTCATGTTGACACCCTGATTACTACTTCTTGCAATTTAGTGATGTGGTACCGTCATATTTGATATCGAGATCTGGATAGTAAACCACAAAAATAAATTTAAGTTTTACGGTCTAAAAGCACAACATTAAAACTCTCAGTAAATCGAAATTTAGCGGTCTCATAAAACTTTATATACAGATGCTGACAGTAAAACCGATATCAAATAGTAGATAATAGACCATTGTCTTTTCGAGAGCCTTTGTGTCCTCCAAGATACGAACCGTACAACAATACATGCAACATTCGTTCCTATAGACTGGGTCTTGGAGTCTTTTTATATTTTCTACAGAAACCATGGATTCGAACAAGATACCTATAAATTAAATTTTTAATGATTGCATTATAAAATTTTGAGTTCAAATTAACTTGGAATTCTTGGAAAATGTATTAAGTGAATATAGTTATGTGATAATGATCTTGGAGCCCTTGATATACATTTTAGTCACCTCATTTTCGGTAAATGTTATTAAATTAGCTATCTGAGCCATCCGCATAATGTTTAAACGTAAAATGTATCTAGATGTATTCATAAATTCAAAATGCGTAGCGCTCCGTTAATGAGAGCTTTGTGCCCTCCGACACGTCGCGGCTTGTGATTATTATGTTTAAATTTTCAGGGTCGTACCTCAACGTTACACTAAACACATGCATCCAGTGCAAGAAAGGAACTTACCAGTCGGAGGCCCAACAAACCCTCTGCATACCATGTCCCATCAATACTAGCACCAGAGGACCTGGAGCGGTAAATAAACTTAAACCACTATTATACTAACTGCACCTCACAAGTACCAGTAGACGATATCCATCATTAAAAGTAATGGGAGTATATTAAACCAAAAAATTATATGACTATTATTATTAAATATCAATAAATTCCACACCAAACGATTGGAATCATCATAATTATGACACAACTTGTATAACAATTTATATTTAGACGACAAATTATGAAACATCAATATTAATACGATGTAGAATTTAAAAAAATTTTAGAAAGGAAATTCTCAACATTTCCCTCCCAGCGCGTAGATATATTTTTTTGACGAGCTAATTAAATATTTTTATTAAAAAATTGTCCGTTATTATTTTTTCAAATTATAACACCGCCAAAAACGAAATGACAATAAGAAAAAAAAATTGTTTGCCAGCTAATTAAATCGTCTGTAACAAAGTTTGTCCGTATCATAGCTGTATACGGCGGAAAATTTGCCGGGAAGCGAATGTATAATTAATGGAACAGCGTTAATGCTAATTAACGTGTTTGAAATTCCTTGATTATAGTATATATGTTGAATTAGAATAAATGGTTTTTGGTCCGTCACAAAATATGCTAAGTATTGTAATGTTCGTTCAAATATAGGAATAAATAATACCAAAATATACGGCATAAATGCCTATGCTGTATCCTTAATACTTTTGCTTATTTGCATAAAAATAACTATAAAACTACCAGAATTCAGTGAATAAGATCAATGATTATGTAATTGAATTTTTTATACATTACCTCAGTTTTAAAATCATATCTAGTACATAATTTAGTGTCATTATTTCGTCTTACTGTTTAAAATATATTATTAAAAAGTAACAGTTTGAAATCTAAGATTTATAAATGTATTTTACAAATGGTCTTTTCTATTTGCTTTTTGTCCCAAATTTCAATATTATCATTAAATGGCGAGTTAAAATACGCAACACTGTACGAACTTGCTTTTATGATTTCGGAAGCCGTAAAGTTTCAACGCGGGCTGCAAATATTGTCTTCGTAACCCCGCAAAGCTTATTAACAATATTGAAGTTTGTTTCCAACTCTATTGTGAGCAGTTACAAGGCTCCTCAAAGCGGATAACCGAAACAATTAGGATACAACTTGGATTATGCAGGGCAGTACCGGCAGGGTCCTTGGACAAGACCACCGTTTATTACTTTACAGTTTGAAAAAAATGTACCATTTTATAATGATACATACGAACATTTTGTACACCGTTCTTTGACTAACTTATATTCTTTCGAGATCAGAAACTAACACACATGATACTAACTATCCCTTACGTGAATAATCCACAGACCTCCGAGTCGGACTGCACAAACCCCTGCGAGATGAGTGGCCCCGAAATGCATTGCGACGCGAACGCGTACTGCCTTTTGATACCGGAAACCAGCGAGTTCAAATGTCAATGCAAGCCCGGCTTTAACGGAACCGGCAAAATTTGCATAGGTAAGCAAACCCACGCGCAATAACGCTCAGTTTTGCGTCCGAATACGTTACATCTATGAATGCTTTAAGGAAACTGTTTGAGGTCAATTTAATGCATCACTTGTTACACGTTGTTTTTGTAGAGCAAACGTTTATTTAATATTATTATTTATTTTTGTAACCATTTTTCGAAATTCTATTAATTTTATAAATCTGAACATAAAACCGATTATTATTACCAAGCACTTGACAAAAAATATTTTGCGTAATGTTTCTTAATATTTCTCGTAATTTGGCATAAATATATATCATATTAACTTTAGAAAAACATAATACCACACAATCCTGACGTAATTTAGGGTAATCCGAAACCCTTTGCAATTACTGTTGTAATCTTTGAGCAAAGCTTTCTTGATTACCTGCAAATTGCAAACGACTTTCAGACGTATAAGCCCTGCTGAATTGTAAAAAAAAACTCTAGCAGTTACAGCAAATAAAAAAAAACAGAGCTGTAGAAAACGTCGTAATAGGTTTACGAATTTTTGGCTTAAAATTTTCGACGTAATTCGAAACAGGCTGGTGTAGAGAGTACTCAGCGATACAGAGTTACATGTAAAGGATCAGCAAGCTGCAATATGTACAGGGAGCGCTCATCGGCTTAGCAATATTGTGTGGGTTTATTCAGTGGGGATCAACATATCTATATGCAAATATGCCCATATCAATGCACAGTTGAACCGTGAAACCGATATCCCTTCTCTATTCCGACATTTATATACGAACCACACGGAAACATTCTGACACTCAAAGTTTAATCCCCGAAATGTGCCGCTTTGATCCCAGTTTATGCAGGCAATATGGGAAAACGATACTTGCTAAGCTCGTCAAAACGTTATAGAAAGCGTTTGGCAACTGTTATTAATATAAAATAAAGTAAAGAGCAAAGTTTACCCACTTTATTAAATGGTGGCAATGAATCCGCAACCCTACGGGTGTTGCAAATGTGCATTGGTAGTGGCTATCAGCTCGCTGGCCACCTTCTCCCATTGTTTCTAAGCTGTTGCCTTCGGCGCCAGAGGTCGATCCCAGTTTATGCAGGCAATATGGGAAAACGATACTTGCTAAGCTCGTCAAAACGTTATAGAAAGCGTTTGGCAACTGTTATTAATATAAAATAAAGTAAAGAGCAAAGTTTACCCACTTTATTAAATGGTGGCAATGAATCCGCAACCCTACGGGTGTTGCAAATGTGCATTGGTAGTGGCTATCAGCTCGCTGGCCACCTTCTCCCATAAAAAAATAAAGAATGATCAAAAAAAGATTAAGATCAAAATAACTATGAAACACGTAATATGGTTTCTAAGCTGTTGCCTTCGGCGCCAGAGGTCGATCCCAGTTTATGCAGGCAATATGGGAAAACGATACTTGCTAAGCTCGTCAAAACGTTATAGAAAGCGTTTGGCAACTGTTATTAATATAAAATAAAGTAAAGAGCAAAGTTTACCCACTTTATTAAATGGTGGCAATGAATCCGCAACCCTACGGGTGTTGCAAATGTGCATTGGTAGTGGCTATCAGCTCGCTGGCCACCTTCTCCCATAAAAAAATAAAGAATGATCAAAAAAAGATTAAGATCAAAATAACTATGAAACACGTAATATGGTTTCTAAGCTGTTGCCTTCGGCGCCAGAGGTCGTCGGTTTGATTCCACCACGGGACAAGTATTTGTGTAACACGCAGACAATTTGTTCTCAAGAAGAGTGGACGTCATAATGAGCTGTTCGTAAAAAAATCCCGAACAAATACCATTAACAACATGATTCGTGTGTGTTATTTTGTGATTAACCCCAAACCGGTGGGATAGCGACAGGAAAAAAGAAAGAATACATGTCACGTAAAAATTGTCTTATATTTTGATGACCTAAGATAACCTTACAGCATTTTTAATAAATAATTCGTGTCTTTGCAAATTTAATTAAATCGGTACTGAACCAACGAACACTGACACAAAAAATGAGGCCTATAATATGTCATTGTCATGTTATTATCTTGAGGTTTATGCGGTAAGAATTTTATCATTTCTGCCATCATGAAGGGAAAGCTATCAAATCGGTCATAAAGCATCCACAAAGCTTGATGGCGAATCGTCGATGGCGTCATATCACTTTCAAGTGTTAAATCCAAAGCTGAACCCCTTTAAAAAGAACACTGAAACGCACTCTAATCTATCGACCTATAATTTATAAAAAACGGATTTATTTATTTTGTGTACGCTACCTTACTTTTACTTATGCATATTTCAACCTCAAACTAAATGTTTATTTTGATTGATTGATTTAAGCCATTACAATCACACCTTAAAAACAAATCAGAAACAATATCAGTTATCTAAGAACTATATTATAACTGCATATACTATCTATAACTACGTATAATAATGATCTTTAGTACCGGAACATATACAGCGTGTCGTTACAAACGCGAAAATAAATGAACACACGTCTAAAGCTACTTGCCAATAATCATTAAAAAATTCAAAATAAAAAAAAACAATAATTCAATATAAAAAAATTATTCAATAGTTAAATTCAGAAGTAAAATTTCAGTACCTGGGTACCACTCATTGCTGCAATCTTCGATCTGCTGGTAATCTTACGTTGCTTATTCCTTCTCACAGTACCGGTTTTCTCTCTAAATCCTTCGCTGTTACAGCTGCTCGACTCTGGAACGCCCTTCCTCGTGAAATTCGAAAATCACCGAATAAATTTATTTTTAAAGCTAAAGTTAAGGAATATTTTAATTCGTCGTCTTATGATCAGTAGTATGGATAACGTTTGATAGATATTTCCGTTTTATGTACGTATATTATGTAAAATATTTTTTTAATTATTTATTTACTTACACACTTTTTTGTCCTAACTGGTACAAACGGCGGGCTTAATGCCATAAGGCATTTTCTACCAGCCAACCGGAAAGTTAGTGAAAGAGAAGTGTAGGTGCTAGCTATATAAGGATTATATAATATGTATACATACATTATGATAACAATTATTAACTATACCGGTTGGCTGGTAGAAAATGCCTTATGGCATTAAGCCCGCCGTTTGTACCAGTTAGGACAAAAAAGTGTGTAAATAAATAAATAATTAAAAAAATATTTTCAAACAAATTAATTAATTAAAAAAGAAACAAAGTTGTAACATCCTATATCCCATAAGTTCCCAATGAATTAAAATATTCGTGCTATATCAAATTGTACGGCTAGGCAACGGCATTTTCTGCAAACAGATAACTTATATGTTCTAACTATAGACGTGTCACGTTACCCCACCCTTAATTAAATGACTACACAACTAACTGTTATTTAATATCAATTATAATCAAGAATTATTAATAATTACTTTAATTAACGACACTTATTGCCATTACATCGTCATGTTGTGCGTACTAATGACTTCATATTTATAACTTCATATTTATAACTTTATGGAAATAAATCTGTTTTATGTTCAAAGATAACTGAAACTAAAGTTATCCACAAGAATTAGTCTATTGTCATATGGTTGTTAGATTGAAATTTTCCACAGCATCATCTGTAAGATAACACGTTAAACGTTCGCTCTATAGTTCATATATATTGTGATAGATGGCGCACAACAAAACTTGACCCGTACTTTTTTAAAGATTCACACTGATTCGTACTTTAACACGATTCTTCTTCTTTCATATTTAGCAATGATATAATATATTATATAACCAATTCCTTCTTCAACCGGAGGAGGATTCTCAATTCGGTTGTATGTTTTTTATCTTTGTTACCTACACTTCTTTTTTTCTTCCTTTCAGACCTCGGTCATTTATGAATCGATTTTAAAAATTACTCGTATTTTTCAATTGAGTTTTCACCTGTGTGGTCTAATGTTAATTTCATAGGACCTTGAACTCCAGAGAAATCAAATAGAAAATGTAAAGTTAGTGAGGTAGGTGATTGTGCAGTCGGTTTTGTTTTTTGTTACTTAAAATGTTTTCCTTGTTATTAGACGTGTGCTTCGAGTACTGTGACAACGGCGGCGAATGTGTAAAGGATGCAAGGGGCGAGCCAACGTGTCGATGCACTGGGTCATTCACGGGCCGCCATTGCCGCGACAAAAGCGAGTTCGCGTACATTGCCAGTGGGGTTGCCGGCGGAGTCATCTTCATCATATTCCTCGTGCTGCTCGTTTGGATGATCTGTGCTAGGTGATTTTTGAACAACATTTTTTAATTAACAGCGTTTTATTTCACAGTAATAGAAGCAGAGTTATGTTTATCGTTAAAATATTTTAGTAAAAATCTAGCGTCCCATTTAATCTTTCATCGCATATAATTTTTAAAATAAGAAATATGAAAAAATGCAGAGCAAAGTGTAATAGTGACTTGTTTAGACTAGGAAAAGAAGAAAAGCCAACGAAAATTAGACCTTTTTAAAAACGACCCACGATCTAGGATATTAAATGTATCTCTGACCACTATTTCAAATGACGTATACAAAATCTGCCTTTGTTTGGATCAAAGCGTCAACAAGTTACGCAATGGCATTTGTGTCATTGATTTACATATATCTACCGTCTGCTCACAGGGCCAGCAAGAAGAAGGAACCAAAGAAAACACTGACACCTGCAATCGACCAGAACGGCTCCCAAGTGAACTTCTACTACGGCGCTCACACGCCGTACGCGGAGTCCATCGCGCCATCGCATCACTCTACGTACGCGCACTACTACGACGACGAGGAGGACGGTTGGGAGATGCCCAATTTCTACAATGAGACTTACATGAAGGAGAGCCTACATAACGGGATGAGCGGAAAGATGAACAGCCTCGCACGGTCGAACGCCAGCATATACGGCACCAAGGAAGACCTGTACGACAGGCTGAAGAGGCATGCGTACCCGGGTAAGAAAGGTCAGTATTGTTCATGCACTTAGATTAGTGCACATTTTATACTTCCAATAACGCAGCTTCCCACTAAACTATTGCTTTTGACTTTGCATGAATAGTTAACAGAATTCTATTTACTTGGCTTGTTCTCGTTGTATACGTAGTTTTAGTAGTGAATTTATTTTAAACCAACAAATCATACGGGTTTCGGTAAACAATGGCATCCGTTGAAAACTTTAACAGTTGAGATTTATGGCGGAAGGAAACGGAAACTGAGTCAAAGTTTGCCAGTTTTTTAAAGCGCCTCAGTAACACATTCTTGTATGGACCGTCGCATATTTTATCGTGGACAAAACTTAGAACTTTTAAATAACCCATGTTGCGAATGGATAATATAAAAACAATAAAATTAAGTATCTTACAATTTACTATAACTTTTTATATATTAGTATTCTATTTAATAAATTTTTAATATTCTATCCCAAACGAATGAAATACAAAACAGTCACTATTTCATTGTAAAATCTACAAGACAGTTGTAAAGGAGTTTGTGTAAATGAACATTTTAGTAAAGGAAAAATGCATCTTGTATATTTAAATAAGAAAATAGTAATGTTCTGTAGTTAGTCGCATGGTTTTTAGTTAAGTTCCTAAAAAGTTTACGTGCTAATTATATACCGTTTCACAGCTTAAACATCTTTATTTTCAGATAAGAGTGACAGCGACAGTGAAGGTCAATAATTATAACGAAAAGGACTGCGTTTTGTCGTATTCTGGTCAATCTTACATAATACTGTATCGTATTAGTTTGAATTAGTGGTAATTCATAAAACTGGAGCGATAATTCAAAATGTTATTGTAAATCTGTATAGACTTGCGACCGAATAATTTCGTCGGTCAGACGTACACCAGAGAGTTATGACATATTATTGTAGAATCTTGTACTCTGTTAGCTTTATTACTAGTTTTAAGTTATTTCTACAATGAAAAGATAAGCAATGTATAGGTATTAACACACTCACTGTTTACCCACAGCCCCACCTAAATATCACTAACTGAAGTAATGTATCACTTCGAGATTTGGATTAATTTGTTTACGAAATTTTTTCACGGAGGGAAATTTTACAAGTTTCATTTCTAAATTGGCTTGCAATAGATGAACAGTGAATGTGTTGATGTTCTGAGATTACAAAGTGAATGAAAAAAAATGCTCAAGTTAGTGTTTTAGGCAAACTACGCCATACCAGGATAGATGGGATTGTAAACACGAACCCTCTACAACGAATTACAACATTCCAGCGAAATTTTCCAATTGAAATAAACAAATAAATGAATATATAGTGTACATATGATAATAATTTTACGACTTGTATATTTATGTTAGACCTCAGAAGTCTCGTGGTGTTAGATTTTAGTCGATTTTTTTTGTAATAACGTCGAACATTCATAGTTCTAAGTATTGTTTGTAAATCATGAGTTCGAGAATGATAACACCTCAATAGCATGTGTTATTTACTAATAGTTCTTTGTATTATAAGTTGTATGTTTATAACAGTTTTTTTTTTTGTATGGATGTATAAAAATTTTTATTTCTATTAAGTCGATGCGTAACACTTCGCCTAAACATATCTTACATTCCTTGTTTTAACGTATCGTAAATTGTTATTTATATTAAATTACGTAGACTAATTATCGTTTAATCGACAAATATAATTTAACGTGTTCGTCTTTCTCCATTTGTACCTTCTGTAAGCGTCAATACTCAAAGCTTCCGCCGTGTTGTGACTTTTCGGTGATCGGTTCGTCGTCCATCACAATTTATTACCACATTAGTGATTACGTTAACTGTAATATTTTTATACAAGAGAATAAAGTTATATGTATTCACACTATTGTTTGCTTTTCTTCTGGACCCTCTCCAACGACGAAGTGTCGGACGATACTCGACTTCGATAAGTAGATCTGCTTCGACATAGGAAAAGCGATAAAACTTTCATGGTTTCCTTAGAATATTGCTCAGATAAGATCTCTGAATATCCTACTTTGAAGGGAATTTATTTTATTGTATGATATAGGCATGCGTAAATCATACACAGAAAAACAATCAAATCTAGAACATGTAAGTAGTAGTATTTATTGCGGACTCGAACATGCGACCAAAGATTTATATTTTACATCAGAGTCTAACGCTTAACAGCTGCATTAACGACGTTTTTAAACGAAATATATCTTAAAGATAATATACATATAATTTATGTATAATTACTATTGCACACCATTTAAACAGCAATTAATTTTCTAAAATGAAGAGTTGGATTTGTTTTTTACAGTATGTAAAAAAATGCGTATGGAGTAACTTAAACATTTTGAATATGTATAAAAATACAAAAAAAAAAATCCGTATCATCTTGTACAGTAACACTTGTCGTATATTTAATAGTAGTGCGAATTTTGTAAATTAAAATCGCAATTAATTATAAACTTCCCATAACTACTTAGTTCGAAGACTAAACAGTCATAGCCATAATATAGCAAATATCTTAGGATTAGTCTTAAGAAGCAGCCAATCTTTCCGAAATTGCACGACAGTGGTACTTTATATAATAGCCTAGTAAGAAGTATCTTGTAAAACTGCATCATGGCCTGGAGACCTCACTACGCTACACATTCATTATGCAATAAGCAGGATAAATCCAGGTTTAGTTGGTAGTAGTTCCAGTTAGGTTTTTTAATTTGCACTTTTTAGGCTCGAAGAAATGTTCTTGCCTCTAAATTCATGAGCAAAATCTGAAATTATAAATTGACTGTAGCATTAATCCTCTTCAATTTTTAAAAATAAAATTTGTGCCCAATGTACGCTGAAAGTGCGAATTGTGTATTGTCTTGCAGCAGTAGCTCATTCTCTTTGTGGTCTATCAAACCTTATAGTGGTTGGGGTGACACAGATTTTTTTGGTCTTCCATGTTTTATGTCAGCTAAATGTTCCTTCAAGCGAGTTTTAATTGCTCTATTTTTCCTATGTAAGAGCGCCCATATTTGCAGCCAATATTGTACACCCCTAGATCGTGCAGAAGGATAATGCACTTGACAGATGATAAAAACTGACTACTCTTTAGCTAGTTTTAGAATATTTTAATCAAAGCCTTCTTTAAAATGTAATGTCAATCTTGTCGTTGTCCTTTGATATATGGTAGAAAATCTAGCCTGAGTCCGGTTTTATTCCGTAACTGTGACGTAGGCGAAGTACTCGTGTCTTGTTGTCATGCTGTTCTTTTTCCTACGCACAAAACAAAGTTTATGAGTAGGTAATTTATGGTGCAAGGGGCGCGACTCTGGAATGACTTACCACTAGAAGTAAGGCGTGCTCAGTCATTAAATATTTTCAAGAATCTTGTAAAAAATCATTACTTATCTCTGTAATGTTATTCCCTAACAATGATATATGTATTCGTATATATGGTATGTATATATTTATATGTATGTGTTGATGTGTATATGTATGTATATGTGTATTTATATGTATATATTTTGTTAGCCTTTTGTATATACATTTATTTATTTACTTACATATTTATAAATACATTATTATTATGAATTATGATTGTAGATAACTATTTTTCTTTTTCAGTTCATTTAGTTAACCCACACCTTTATTCCTAAATTATTTCTTTTTAATCCATCCAAAGGTTGCCTGGAAGAAATTACTCTTAGTAATAAGGCCGCCCATTGTACCCATCACTTCTACATTAAGTTTTAATTTTTGTTTGTTTTATTTTTGGTGTGCAATAAAGTATATTCATTCATTCATTCATTCTTTTTTGATATATTATAGCTCTGCGGCCAGGTATTTCTTGTCACAGATCCCTTGGAAGATTTATCCATAGGCAGTTAACTGGGATGGATGGTGGTGAATAAATGTTCTCTTATTTACTTTATACCTTCTTTTTCTCTCAAAATATAATCTTCATAGTATAACCACATTTCGGTTCTTTAAAATGCACTCTCAATTTTCCTCCAATTATTATATCGCCTACTATGAGGTTTCCCTACCGTAAATGAAAGTCAAGGATACGAGGCAAATAGAAAACGGGAAGCACTACGCTTACATTCAATAGCAGAAACAGTTGCGCGACAAAATAAACATAATAATCATATGAACTAATTTGATCAAAGCGTAGATTAAAACAAATAAAATTTGTCATGAAATACATTTGCCGTAAAAACATAAGCATTGGCACGTTTAGTTACATATAATATTAATAAGAGGTTAACGCAATATTATGATGTAGTTATATATCAAGATTCATTGCATCAGTAATTCTTCTGTCAATATTATTAATGTTATCTACGCATTCTACTTCTGTTTGTTTGTGTAGTAGTGGTTAGTATTCGCTTATTACGTAATAGATAATCTCTGGAACTACCGATTTTTTAATTAACCGATTTTCGAAGCAATTAATAACGTAAAGCTACTTTTTATTAGAAGACATGGTTTGTTTTAAATAAATAAAAACAGTAACGTACCTACATAAACGTATTTCGCACATTTTTGTCTATCTATATTATGATAAAATATTAAAACAATATATTATATGTAGGCGTCATATTCTTCGTGGTATGTTTACAAAAAGTATTTAAATATACATTTTGTAAACATACCACTTATTTACATAGCTTTAAGCATTTAGTGATTATGTTCACTAGATCGTAATATTTAAAATTTAGAGTATCTTAGAATTGTCCTTTCCATGTGAATCCGAGACAGGCTTGCTAACTAGCTAGTAAATATACATAATTTAGTTGATTGCCTGCAATTCCGTTTGTTTGTTACGCCACATGTTATGATAACGCTCGTTGACCCCATAACCGATAGCTGTAATTGGATTCTCTCAATTATGCAAGAGTTACTAAATAATCCATCTCCACTCAGTCTTTACAACAACATATATTTTTAAAGTGTAATTAATAGCGACTGACGTCACAGGCGTACCGAATTAAATAGAATTTTACGTTATTATTTCAACACATTAATCTGAGTTATTATTGTTATACCCGCCAGACAACTTTCCACATAAAGAAGTAGTTGCCCTGAATATTCACTAATGTTATGAAATAAACAAGCGTCTTCGTTACCGAACGGTACCAAAAGCAGTAAAGCAGAGTCGGTACTTTAATTAGACTTACCGTTGAGTTAGGTAGACCTTAAACGGCAAGGCATTTTCTTTGTTTCCTATTTATACTCACTACTTACAACATCCGATAATTAAAAAACAAATAAATCCGTAAACCTCAAAAGTAATTATTACTTTAAATACCAGTAGCGTACACCTGTTGTTTCTTTGGATTTCTATCGAGTATCTGAGTCGGTCATTTAGTTTAGTCACCAAGTTACTTATAATCAAAGTTTTTAAACAAGTGCAAGAGAAGATAAAAATAATGTCCATCTGTCAGCTTATTGACCCCTGACATTACGCGTAGAATTTGAATTAGAGAAGAAAATTACCAATGAACACATGACCAATATATTCAAATTTCATAACTTTCTTTATTTTTTTTTTTTATTGAACTTTGTAGTCTCTTTTTCAAGCGTTCACAAAATAAATTATTATTATATTATTCTCAAAATATAGTAGCTAACAATAGGAACGGAAATAATTATAATAAGGAAGCAGTAAATATAAAAAAAAAAATTTAATACCAAACACAGCCATACAAAAGTATAAGGCAATTGAGAATTTTCGTAAGTTTTAACAATTATAAATAAGATACATTAAAATGTTAACAGTCATTTAGTATTTATTTCGAATGCTTCTCTTGGAACTCCTTCATGTACTCGACCAGGGCCTGTACTTCTTCCACTGTCACTGCGTTGTAAGTTGAGGCGCGGATACCTCCAACCATACTGAAATTGATATATTTAATATATTATTAAAAATTATTAATTTAGTAAACAATGAGAGATTACAATGAGATCAGACTCGAAAGTACAACATGCTAATTTTTTATACTTTATAACAACGGGTTTCATAAATAATCGTCCTTTAAATGAATGATTTCGGCCGGATGCTAACTGTTCAACAGATACATTGTAAGAGCCAAAAAAACGTATTGCGCTGCGAATGTTAAAACATTACACAACGCATGTTTACAATCATTCATGGGTTAGCAACATGTTGCCAGTCAGACAACGTTACAATACGCGCATTAAAACATGCTTATTTAATTATGTGCCAATATTCAATATATTTGGCTAATATACGACTTGCGCCAAATTTCAATTATGCCACTAAAATAATATGTGATATATGTAAGATGTTCTAATGCACTGTACTATTTATTGTACCCAAATTTATGTATAAAAGTTAGGGTGCTGCTATAATAGGCAGTGATGATTACTAAAAAAGGTTGCCAACCCATGGTAATACGAAACTTATACAAACGCAATTACATCATCATTGATACAGTGAGGTCGTCAAAAGTAGTTTTCTTAAACGAATATCTTCCTATATCAGTGCTAGATGGCCATACCGTTTATTTAAATTTAAAAAAGTGTTGGTCTAGTTTTTTTTTTAAATTGGAAGCTTCATGTCCCAGTGGCTGGCAGCAATCACTTTAAGTTTTTCCGTTTTCTTCCGTCCAAAAATCATTGCACGATCAGTGTTCGGTTTACACTAGAGGCATAAATTTTCGAGATCATCGCATCACAACATGGGTCTAAATAACTTGGGTGAAATTGGGACAGCGATTTCTGCCAACACCCTTATGGTTTGAAAGGCGCGAAAACTTATTCATTTTATATTTATTACCGTAAACATCTATGAAGTTCAAATCAATGATAGCCAATTCAATAATTTAACGGTGGTAGAGTCACGCAGCAGCCTCGGCTGTTGCACGAACGGGCAGGCCCGTCCGGGTAAGTACCGTGACCTCACAGAAGACCGGCGTAAAGTGGAAGTACAATACTTTCGCGTTTCGTCTGGTGAGTGACGTAGCCGGAGCCCAACGGGTGTGGCGGATGTCAATGGGCGGTATACACTGAACACCAGGTGAACTGTCTGCTCGACTGGCAACTTTTCACATAAAAAAATTACTAAATTCTCTCACCGATGACCCTTGAGCTGGATCAGGCCTCTCGCTTCCGCCCCCTTCAAAAACTCCTTCTCCAACGCTTCATTACCCTCTGCTCCGATTCTAAACGGAATGTTCATCTTGCTTCTCGAGTTCTTCGCAACTGGAGCGTAATAGAAACCGTTCGACTGCTCGATTAAATTATATACCAGGGATGCCTTCTTTGTCGCCAGCTCAGCCATTTTGTCCAGACCGCCTTGTCTCTCTATCCACTGAAGCACACGACCCATGATGTAAATACTGAAAATTGAAAGCGACCTTTTTAGTAAATGGGTAAAAATCTAAAAGAGAGACATTTCATTACATTGGGTGTCCGTTATAATTCTTTCCTTCAGTTGCAGTTTGTTACTAAACCTGATAGCTAATTTGCGGACTGCCTCTAGGACCTTGTATAAATACTCGTATCTCGATCCATTTCTTCTTTAACTTATTATGTAAAGTCCACGATTGGAATAGTGTTAATTATTCCAGGAAAATTGAGAGTGACAAGTGTCACACACCCACACACACACGCGCGCGCGTGTGTGTGTGTGTGTTTGTGTGTTTGTGTGAACAGAAATTGTTTGTAAATTAAAGTAAATAAGAATTGGGACGTGTTGATAGTGATTAACAATTCATATTCACAGAACGTTCATATCAAGTATGTTGCAAGGTTAATAGTATGTCATTTAGTTCAACTGAGATTATTATAAAAAAACATTATCTTGCAAAAGCAGTTTCAACGAGTTTTTCCAAATATTTATGATATCTGATAGATACTGGTTATAACTGCTTTAAAGTAAATTAAAAAGTTCATATCACAATGCAAATACACTGACTGAACATTATACAAGCAAGAATAGTAATCCAGGGGGATTTTTACTGATATTGTTTTATGTAAACAAATCGATTTTAGGACTGAAGGAAAACTTTACACAATAATGTTTCTTTAACTATATTACCCGGATACCATGCTTAAAGAAAACAATAATTAATAATAATAATAATAAATGTTTCGGACATATTTTTACACAACATTCTCTAGTCCCAAACTAAGCAACGCCTGTACTATGGGTACTTGAAAACTAATAAACATACTTAAACATACTTTTCTTTTGTAAATAAATACATATTATACATATATAAACACCCAGACACCAGAAAAACACTATGTTCATCACACAATATTTTTCCAGTAGTGGGGATCGAACCCACACCCTCTGGCGCAGGAGGCAGGTACACTACCCACCACGCCATTCGGGTCGTCAAAAAAAATTATGGTTAAATAAACTCTACTCATTTTCATATGAGATGTTCAGTAAGAAAATGTATAGTTTATATTTTCATGATTTTGTTGCTTAAAGGTACTTAAGCTTTTATTTCATTTATCGATAATTTAAAAAAATATTAGCGCACGTTTAATGTGGTATTCCAGTGCCAAGGCTGAGAATAATACATTTTGTTTATTGTTGTGTCGTTGTCATGTTTCGTTTATGGTGAATGGTGTCAAGTAAATACCCGTAATTCCCTCAAAAGTAGGCTTAAGTTCATTTTTTATGTCATATACCGATTAACCGTCGCTCGATTAATGCGTGAAGATATTATGCCTAACCTAACGACACAAAGAGAATTAAGCGTAATAAATATCTTTAATATTCCAATGAAACTGAAAACATGTATAACGTGTAACCGAAAAGATTTCTTACAGTATTTCACGTGTAATAACAACGGTTGTATAAGAATTAATGTTATCAAGACACTGGGAACTTACGCAAACATAGGAGGTGTGTTCAATATCGAGTCGTTTTTGGCGGTAACGGTCCAATCCAAAATTGAAGGGCATATCGGTAGGGCGTGGTTCAACAGATCCTCTCTAACTATGACGAGTGCAACGCCAGATGTGCCTATATTCTTCTGAGCCCCACCGTAAATGACACCGAACTGTAGAAAGTATATTTTATTTTATTTTCTGAGAGAAGGCGGTAAACAAACAGGCGGCTATCTTGACGTTCAAACAGAAACTTCACCCGATCATCACCCTAGGCTGGTCGTTAAAGAACCGCAGGCGCATAACAAAAGACGCTCAAGACCAGGAATGTGATATAATTTACGTAACAGTTTATTGTCGTGTCGATATAATTTGCACATAGAACATATTTGGACTTAAAGATAAATTGAAACAGACATGTTATCTACAAAATAAATGTCAAAATTGTCTGTATGTGTTGATAATGGATACTAGGCGCTGATAAAAGTTTAATAGCCAACGCTATCGTGTCATACAGTTTAATGTACAAGCCTGTGTTAATTTAGTACTGGTGGAGGTCGTAACAATTGGTACCTACGTAAATTTTTCTAACGACGGTACTGTCGTAACATCTGTTAATACAAAAATATTAATGTTTTTATACGGATACTTTATTGGAAACTAGCTTTTCGCCCGCGGCTTCGTATGCGTTGAAGCCGTTAAATAAATATCTTTTTCAATTAAAAATAGCCTGTGTCCTTTCTCAGGCTCTAGACTATCTGTGTACCAAATTTCATTTAAATCGGTTCAGTAGTTTTGGCGTGAAGAGCGAGACAGACAGACAGAGTTACTTTCGTATTTATAATATTAGTATGGATATTACACAGAATAGATAGCTTTAAAAAACAAGATTATTTAACTGGTCTTATCAAAACAAGACGTAATGAAAACATCAGTAATTAAAAATTTAACCTCACTTGAACTTTATGCGCTGATGGTATGAATAACTTAGCAACTGCACTACTTACATTTAAAACACAACATTTAACACTATCGGTATCTTGGAGTATTGGTATGTGCAATGCTTTTTATTCCTAAGGAATGTTTCCACAAAAATAAAGAACTAATTCATCTAATATACTTCGATTAATATCGCCAAATAATACTTGCAAAGTGCGTAAAATAAACCGTATTAAAATATGCATAAATAATAAGGCGTGAATTAATAGGATTTTTTCAGATTTAGAAATAGTAGTGCAAATTAGATACGCAAAAATTACCTTAGAGACATCAACTTTCTTGGACATAAAATTAGACGACATATCTGCTACTAAAGGCACGCCCTTTGTATCTGGTATGAAATCGAATTCCACACCTGAAAAATTTAAAAATCTAAATAAATCACTTTCGTGGAATCTAATAAAAAAAATTAAGATTGTAAATACTTTTGCAAGAGAAAGCTTTCATTCATTACCGTGTGAGATTGTTTTGATAAGAAAAATAGTCACCGTGAACTGTTTCGTTTGTGCAAATGTGGACATACGAAGCATTTGGATCAAGATTCCATGTAGATTGATCCGGTACTCCCACATAGCGGTCTGTGGGTGGTACAACCAAGTTGACTTTTCCGTACTTCTTAGCTTCTTTTGCAGCTTTCTCTGACCATGCACCTGAAAAACAAATGCGCTACTAATATTTATACGCGATTACTTACAAATAACACAAATTATATAAACAACCGTGTTTTATTGTGTCTCCACTGTAAGTAGTTCACTGAGAAGGAACACAAGTTAGACATCTAGGTCAGATTACACAAGTATAAATCTAAAACAATTGTGATTTTAATTTGAATTCAACAAACGATTTATAATATATATAATCTATTATAATACATCATAGTGACTTTATTATACTTGTGGGTATTTTTCTTTTAAACTCACCAAAGTTGCCTGGTAGAGAATGGCTTAGACATTAAGTCCGCATCTTTTTCATCATTTTCGTTGCCTCTTTAGGCTTAAAAACATTAAGACTCGTTTATAAGCTCTGTTTAAATTACACAGTTTACGAATTTCTTTCACATCATCATTCAGTTAACAGCCAAAGCTATTTAGTTAACAGAAGAAACATTTATATGTATATCGATTTATAGTTTCATAACATACCTGTTACAACGTAATCTGCAGTTCCTGTCCGCGATATCAAGTTCATTGGAACAGCGGCAAATTGTCCCTGGCCGCCGCCGGCCAGAAAAAGGATCTTGTAGTTGCTCGGGACATTTCTAAGAGAAATTAGAAATGTATGTAATAATAATAATAATCCGTACATGTTATTAAAGTAAACGACTTACTATCGATATCTATATTCATGGATAAACGATGATCTATAAATGGTGCACATGATCATGGAAACTGTGGTCGTTATCAAAATATTCAATAACATTCAAAAATTTAACAATAGTTAATGACGAACAATACTAATAACCTTTTTTTTTTTTAATTTTCTCGCCTTATTTAAATCTGCATTCTATAACCCATAAAATATTCAGTAATTGATAGAATATGTGCAAAGCGGATTTCTTTGAGTTTTCCGGTCATGCCTTACTATACGCTTTTTACTAAGTGTAGACTGTGGAAAATAAGTTTTTAAAGTAGAACCGTGGGACGAGGTGTAAGGATATACGAAAGGCAATCGGAAGATACTAGATCCGGAGAGCCGAGTACCTGGCTAAGCACTGAGCCTTGGCGACACATTAGATTGATGTGCGCTGACTGGGCAGATCTTAAAATAATATTATACCGTGTAAATTGAACTGATCATCAATAGAAAAGAGACAATAATTTCTATTAAGACAGTTAGTAACGACGAACAGAATTTTTCGATTTAATAGGTTGCTGTGCTATTGTACAGATCGATTTAAATTCTCATGATCGCATTTTATCTAAATAAATTATCGAAGACAATCGGTTAAGTTGTATCTAACTTGTTAAATTGTAGTTTGTTATTTGAAACACGATCTTGAAAATTATTTTCGATTTCGTTTCCATATATTTACATTGATTCACAGTTGTGATTGGCACAACTGCATAGACGAAATGTTTACATTTCTTTTAAGTTTTTTTCTTTTCTTTAACCAAATTTAAGTTCACGGCCAAAGTACTGAATTGTTTTATGTTTTATTACTCACAGCAAAAGAAATGTACATTACACGCAAGTTACAAAACTAAAAAAATCGTGTAATAGTCTATCACCAAAACGTGACACTATTTAGAAATGATCACCACTTCGATAAACTTAATAATCTAGATCTAGATTGTAGCTGTACAGTTCTAATGTTGTGATGTAATGGTATATTGCCTAAATTAGGCTCACTAAGTTCTATATCCTTTAAAGCCTATAGATAAAGATAGTTTGCCTATAGATAGAAGTCTTTTGAGAATATTTATGACAAGACATCATTTTTCATAAATGACAAGCTATGCCATTTATGAAAATTTCCATGATGAACCATGTTGAGTCTAGTTTTGCAGATACAGGCTTATCATTTTCGGGAACATTCTAGGGTAACAGAGTTAGGCCGTAGAAAAATGTATGAAAATAAATAGGTATTTAATTAAACCCGAGTAATGTTTTAATTTGTTGTATTATTTATCTAACTATATAATTTGTACTTATTCTTTATTTCTATTATATTATAAAAACACAATCAAAGTTGAGCACTATTATTATGAATGTTCATTGTTCCGTTATGTTAAATATAGAACATAATTACTACCTAATGACGCACAACGACCAAAGTTTGATAGTGGCCACTTTGTGCCAGATATCATAGTCAATATTTTATAAGAGTCCATTCAGGGCGTTTTATAAAGATACTCAGGTCATCGTTAGGCCAGTTTGAATTGCGGTTTCAAAACTGCCAATGCAATGCAGTTACCAATACTGGTTCCCGGTCAACTGCCGCTAGCTGTCATCTATACTATGTCAACTTATTACTAGAATATATGTTGGTCAAGCAAAAAAATGCAGGACGCCCTTGTATACTCAGGACATCAGTAGACTTAATTAAACCTAATGAGTATATAACTAATTTCATCGCTTTTATCTTCTTTCTTTAAATCATCAGCTTGATCGCACAGATAAATAAATGTTGAGTCATACAAAAATGTTTTAAATTATGAAGTTCGAAGGATTGATTAAAAAAAACATGATTTTGATTTAATAAGTTAAGTTCGAAAATTGTCAAAGATCATCTCGCTGCAGAACATTATAAGCATGGTAAAATACTTACAACAATCTTCTCACAACATCTTGTACTTCTGTATTCAACCTTAAATATGTCTGGGTTCGGTGGCTTGTCTCTAACAAACTTATTCCGGAGCCTTCGAAGTTGGTCAACTCCTCTCTAATTATATCGTATACCTACAATAAATATTAAACAAGACATGAGCGTGAGTGCTGTACCTAAGAAACAATTTAATGACAATTCAACACTGCTTTCATTAACAATTAATAGTCAACTTACTTCTTCCGGTAATTTTGCCGGCCCGGCACCGAAATTGTGAATCTTTACCATATTTCTATTTACAAAACTCTTAAAGTGATTAAGGTACCACCACAAACACACCCACACCGCTTGATAAGCCGCGTTAGACTGGTTCGTTGAGGAGTTAAAATGGTTTCTAAGTGACTTTGTGACTGCGCCGGACTCGGAAGGCGTGCAGTATTTTCTGTTGTTTGTGTGCTATCGGCCTTATTTATATATTCTGTTTTTGCACACGTTTTATTCGTAACACACGATATTATTACGAAAAACTTTTCAGATAAAAGTTAGTATGATCTGGTTTAATCATATACTACACCTTTTCTCCCATCACTATATTGAGAATTAATTATTGTCTAGATTTAATTAAACCTGATGATATCTATAAGCAACACTACAAAGAAATAAAAAAAGGAAAACGATTCTCCATTTCATTTCAGAAAAAATTACAACTTAAAGAGTAGTGTAAAACTTAAGGCTTAAAAAGCTTAAAATGCGTCGCAATATTTTTGTTTTGCACACGTTTGATGTAGTCAGAATATTGCGCAAAAGTCTTAAGATAATAAACGATAAACTAGATATGTACATCAATGTTATTAAAAATATATTGTTTTGTAGTCACGGAAGCGATAGAATCCCGCTTATCATAGTATTCAGACCAGCAACAAGGGATAAAAGATAATGAAAATAGATAAATAGGTTTGCCAGATCTGTTTTCTTTAATGAATGCATCAACTAAAGAAAATGAAAATTATATAGTAAACGAAAGAAGAAAAATTATCTATAAGAAAGTTAATTGAAAGAAGATATTATGGTTTACCTATCTTGATCTAAAATCACCAACATTGAGATAAGTATAATAAATGTAATGTTAATGTTATATCAATTTCACGAAAATTAAGCCAGTTAGTATTACAGTGTCAATACTATTTCAGTGCAAAAAATAAACATATCGGCTTTACGGACCTCTTTCGAAAAAAAGTCACTGTTAAATTTATATCCAGTATTTAGCGACAGGCGTTAAACTTGTGACTAAGTAAGATCTTGAAAAAGTAATATTGAGTATTTTTATCTACTAAGTCAATATTTATAACGAAAATGAAAATGAAAAATTTGTTATTTAAATATAGGTTTACAATTGTACATTGTGTACCTACATAGTAGAGTGGGGGACACTAGGCGCAACTATCTTACGGGAGAAGTTAATGATTTCCACTATTTGGTACTAGCGCTCGAGCAGTGACCGCTTCATTAACAATATGAATATAACATTATGTAGGCTAACAAGAAAAACATAAGAAGAAAGCTAGAAACATTTAAACATTAAGTCATGAATCTATTACACGTTATTTAAAGCATCAATGAGTTGAAGCTGCTTTTGCTAGTTTCCATTCCACAATGTCCTGGAATCCAGGCCAGGTTTCCATTCAGCCCAGGTTTAGGGGGCAATTTAATAGAGTCTCCTTGATTTTTAAAATAGTCGGGTTCCTAAACTTTGATCGGATGGGTTTGACTTTATAGACAACTTAGTGATTTCAAATATATATCATTTTTTATAAAACATTATTAATGACTAGAATTTAATAAAAAAAATGAATACACTTAGAAAATACAATGTATACATACAAAAAAGTGTAAAAAGATTTTTTACATACGAATAATATAAACTTTTTTTATAAACATTACATTTATTACAATTTATTTTCATTCTATATAAACAACTACTAATATTTTAGTATTACTAACTACTATTATTATTATAATAAGCAACTATTAATTTTTATTGGTGGTAGAGCCACGCAGCAGCCTCGGCTGTTGCACGAATGGCAGGACCGTCCGGGTAAATACCACGACCTCACAGAAGACCGGCGTAAAATAGTAGACGAAACCGCAGAAGTGTAACACACACTACTGCGTTTCGTCTGGTGATTGAGGTAGCCGGGGCCCAATTTATTTATAGGTGGCAACGCATTTGCAACCCTACGTGTGCTGCAAATTTTCATGGGATGTTATCACTTAACATCAGGTGAACCGCCAACTCGTTTGCCACTTTCTCTCACATAAAAAAACCGGTGCGTGATTGTTGCATACGGGTAACAGGTAATGTTGATTGGTAATCTCAGATTATAGATACTCTTTTGATGTCAACTCTGATCTGTTTGGTTTCTATTATGTTTGAATTACTTTAAATTTGGAATGTTAGTTTTATTTGTTCAAACTGAATTTTGTCATATTTGATTGATTCCGTAAAAATCACTTAAAGAAGTAACATGTCTACCTCTCTGACATAACTCTTGTATTTTACATAAATTTCATAACGATTAGGTTTTGTTAAAAATAAGTTCAAAATGTTAAAGTTGAAATAAATAGTTTTTTTATCAGTCTTTAAGTGTCTTTTTGGCTTGAAAGTGATCCCATTAGCCACATCTACCATTCAAGAGGTTATGGGCCCAGAAATATTTATATTTTTTGGAGGTTTTCCAGTTTTTTGAGCACAAGTGACAGCTGCGAAAAAATTTCCAAAGATGGACAAGCCCATCAACATTTTGAGCAAAAGATTCTAACTACCATAGCCGGAAACAAAAGATTACTTTGAAAATAACTGCTGCGGGTTTTGAATATATTTTTAAAAAAGAATGAGCAGACTGCTACCACGAGGATAAGTGAGGAATTATTATCCATAAATAAAATGGCGGCTTGGGTGATGAAGAAGAAACAATTGAAAAAGAAACAATTCAAGAAGTAACAATTGACGGTGTTGAAAATGAAGAGAGTACAGAAACAAATGAAGTAGTTTGGGAAGTAACAATTGAAGATGTTAGGAATGTGGATTTTGTTGATGATCTGAGTGAAAAAGTAATAGAGAATAAAGAAGATTTTGATGGTTTTTTTTTGGGATGCGAGAGGAGATAGAATGGCGGAGGTTGTTGCGGAGAGTGTGGGTCCAGGAAGGGATCCACCGAAAAATAAGTCTTTATGAAGAGGAGACGGAGGTTGTTGCGGAGGGTGTGAGTCCAGGGAGGGATCCACCGAGAAATAGGTCTTTACGAAGTTGAGACAGAGGTTGTTGCGGAGGGTGTTGGTCCAGGGAGGGATCCGCCCAGAAATAGGTCTTTATGAAGAGGAGACAGAGGTTATTACGGAGTGTGTGAGTCCAGGGAGGGATCCACCGAGAAATAGGTCTTTATGGAATAGGAAGACGGAGGTTGTTGCGGAATTTGTGGGTCCAGGAAGGGATCCACGGATAAATAGGTCTTTACCTAAGAGGTATAAGGATTTTTTGGCTGAGTGTGCGCTTTTAACGTTTGAGGAAGCAGTTGACTCCAGTGAAGAGGAGAGGTGGTTGAGATCTGTAGAGGAAGAGAGTTTTTTCTTTGGAGAGGAATGGCGCGTGGGAGTTGGTTGGTGAAAAAGAGGCTGAAGGGAGAAAACTTTTAGCAGACAAGTGGGTCTTTGCTAGGAGGTCGGATGGAAGATATAAAGGTAGATTAGTAATCAGAGGTTTTCAACAGAAATATAAAGTGGACTATGAGGAAACATATAGTCCTATGGTGAGCAGTGCTTTGCTTGGAATTGTTTTGTCGATGGCGACTCGGAAGAATTTGAGGTTGAGACGGTTCTATAATATATGACGGTGTTTTTGCGTGAGAGTCTAGAGAAGAGGATTTTTATGCAAGTTGCTATGTTGTGAAGAAGGGTAAGATTTGTGGGGTGAAAAGGAGTCTTTACGGTCTAAAACAAGCTCCTTTCATGTGGAACATTGGTGTTATTGTCTTGTGATAGACATTATTAAAACTTTTAGGTATTTTAATTCTAAACCTTTTAGTGTAGGTAGTGCTAGTGTAAGGGGGTGTTAATAATAGAGATTCGCGCAATGGAAGTGTGTGTGTGAGTTTGTTGTAAGGGGAAAGGATCGGAATTTCAAAACGGAATTTTTCAGAGAAACTTTTACTGATTGACAAAAAACTTTTACTCGAACGAGTAAGTTTTGAGTTTCTCAAGGCCTAGTATTTTTTGTTGCCGAATATGTCGATAAAACATCCCTTCAGGCCCCTTCATCTAGTTTCTTAAACTGACTGTTTAAGAAACTATATGAAGACTGTTGGTCAATAAAATAACTTGCAATATATAAATGGCGTATATTCATAACTGGTTTACTTATTATACTGGACGTTAAGGCAATCCGATGGCACAGTATCTGCTAGTGTTGCAATGAAAATTTGTGAGCCATAACGGTCCAAAATATACCCTTTTTTGACACGTCTGCCAAGATCTACGTCAATTGTCAACGAACGTGAAAAAGAAAACGCGTCGACCCACAGATTATCAACTTACGACGTCACATATTTAATATCGATTAAAACGAACGAAAAAATTGGTTGGATAAGAGTAGCGGCAGATAGAAAGCAGTGGAGGGAACTGGAGGAGACCTTGGCCGTAAGGCACACCGAACCAAGAGATATTGTAATATATATATAAACAAATATGAGAGTAGACTTAGTATTTAATTGTACTTCATAACTATATTTTTTTTTATTTTTATTTTTTTTGCCATAAATGTAAATAGTTCGGGAAATAAAGGCTTATTATTATTGTAAAACGTAAAAAATATATAGAATTTGTTTGAGAAAAATAGTATTTATTACAATAAATACGTTGAGAAATATGAAAAACGTGGAGAATGTACCTACTATGAAAATGTTTGGTAATCTATTGATATCCGTTTTTCAATCCATTGATAACCATTTTTCCAATTGTATCTTGGAGAGAAAATTGGCAAAATGAAAATTATTTGACTCCTTTCAGTGTAACATGTGTAGAATGATTTGAATAACTTCAGTTTATATCTCGATTGATTAATTTCATTTATCGTCTATGGTGACACCAGAAATGTCTCTATCCTTGCGCTCCTAGCAATAAAGTACAATATTACCTTGCATACAATTGTAGCGTTACAAATTGTGGAACTTTACAGGCGATATGCCTGTTCCTGTTCCTGATATGCCTGTTCCTGTTCCTTAAAAGTAACAGTG